CTGGTATCACAGGTGATGCTCATGAAGCCCTGCTTGTGTTCCTGGCTCGCATCGTGTGCCAGGAGAGCAGCTCAGATGAGACGGATGTCAGCCGCGAGCGCAAGGAGAAGGACAGGGATGTGCGCTGGCGGGGTCCTTGGACTGCCCTTTTGGGTGATATAAAAAATCATAGAATGGCGGAAAAACCCTGAATTGACCAGGTGCAAGCTGCACCGAATATGGAAACAGACGGCGCTGCCCTTGAGCACAGCTCATTTTGGGGTGATGTTTTGGTACACGCCAGAGGTGATTCAAGCACCATGCATACTTCTCCCAGCACAGAGAGAGAGAGAGAGAGCGAGAGACCCAGCAGTCCTTTCATGTTTGGTTCAAGTCTCGGGCAGGAGAAGCAAAAGCACAAAGACAAGTCGAAGGATCGAGAAAGGCGGCGCATGGTGACTCGTGTTGTCCAGAGCGAGGGGCAGATGTAAACGACCTCGGGAGAATGCAAGTGAATCGAAATCAGGGCTGGCACTCTGACTCCAGAGCCTTGTTGCAGTCTGTCAAAGTGGCACGAAACCTAGGGAGCAAAAGCCATACTGGACCAGCAGGGAAGGGAAGGAACTCCATGGGCCTGTTAGAATATGAAGACCCCAAGTTTGCCAACGCCAGGGACAAAGAGAAGGAGAAGACGAAGAAGCGCAGCTCCAGCTCCAGCTCCAGCTCCTCTAGCTTCTTGGCGAGATCGACTTAGCTTTTCATAGACCCTCTGCCCAGTGGTGCCCTGTTTTCCTTTTTTGGGTAAGGGGTCCCCTTTAAACTCAAGCAACAAAACAGGGTGCCCTTTTTTTCCCACTGCCACTGGGCATCTGAGGACTGGTAGACTTTCCCTTTCAAAGTACCAGTGCTTTGATCCTAGATTTCCCACCTTGGGTCAAAGTTCCTTTTAAAGCTTTGTGGGAAAAGCTGCAAAAAATGGGGAACGCTTTCTGAAAAAAAATGGGATCCCCTTGAAAGTGACACAGAAAGGGAGATGTCCCACGACTTGCGCCAGGTCGAGGCAAAAGGAAATGATCCCTCGTGCCGCTCGGCCAATGCTTTGCGAGCTTTGGACAGACTGTCAGAGATTTGGGCATGTGGTTTTTGCTCCCTTTTTGGTGGTGTGAAACAGAAACCAACTGGGTAGAGCACAGCTTCGCAGCCCGTTTGGGTCAGACCATTTGTTTCACATGCAGCGATTCACCTTGGCTTCGTGCGCCGAAACTCGGAAGCAGACCCGAAAGGCTCCGCCTGGTCTTCGTTCAGTCGTGCATGAACATGTAGGTGATCGAGCATGAGAGAGACACAACTCGACACTGTACTTGCTCCGTGTTCCTTCCTTTCCGAGCCCACCCGGATTGGGCCAAGGTCTTGCCTGAAGCCAATCGCTCGCGAGAAGTTTCACGTAGGCGCTCAAGATCCAGGGAAAAAGGCGTCCAGCATCGGATTCCCCCAAGATGCATCGACCGTTCTTTAGCTCGGACTGAAAGGGTCCGCTGATCACCCGAAATGAATCTGATGTGCAGCGGGTCATGCGGGCAAGGCCAAATTCATGCTGACAGGCAGGTTGCTTGGAGCAATGCTCTTCTTGCTGGGTCCTTCTCGTATTTTATTCCATGGAGTTGAACTTTGGGGCGTGCTTTGCCCAGTTGAGTCACGGCTATCTGTGACGTGGCCGCTGGGCTCGCTAGGAACTCACTGAGGGCAAGATCGGGCTGACGTGCTCGCAGAGTCAAAGGGATAGCCTTCCCGCCCCTACCCAAAAAGAGCAGCTTGTGGACCGCAAGAAAGAGCAGCTTGCGGATCGCGAGCGAGTCGACTGCGAAGACAAGTGTCCTTGCCTTCGTGTCCACAGCCATGGGACAGAAGCCAGTGGGTCGTTCAGGCATTCGCAAGCTGCCTGGAGGCCTGAACACGAAGTCTTTTGACTCACAAGACGATGAGACATCAAGTTGGGCGCTGTTGGCCACGAAGGGCCATGCCCATAGGTGTCCTTTTGGTTGTTTTGGTAGAAACATAGATGGCCCTGGTTTACGTGGTGGTTTAATCATCTACCAGGGCCATCTATTTCCTCTAAAAGGACACCTATGGCCATGCCTGTGTTCCATCTGTGGGCCTCGCTGTCAGGCCAGCTCTTTAGCTCAGGCTTCAGCAGTGGCCTCGGAGTCGAGCCGATGCAGGACACCCCAAAGCGTGGCGTTACTCGAGCCAAGGCTTCAGGGGGAAAATGCATCGAACGAACAGTTCCTGAAGCAGATTCCATCAGCAGACAACCGATGGCGGTGTCTGTTTCATGCAGCCCCAAGAGAAATTTATTGCAGCTCCCAGTGCCCAGTGTCATCCTCTCGAGGCCTATCATCAGCTCCTCTGATTCCGACATTTGAATTCAATGTGACCTGCTAGGTTGCTTGACAGATGTACCAAAGGCGTGCTTGCTCCACGTGTTTCGGGGGGGTTCGGGCTGACCTCCCATTCATCCAATGAAACAACTTTCGGTGGAAGGCTCACAAAGTAATTCCTCTTGTTTTTTGTTTGTTCAAGGGGGGACTCAAAGTTGTTACGTGTCAAAGACCTCGTTCCCAGGCAAGAAGACTTCGCCCCGGGAAGAGGTGCCGCAGGCGGGGTTGGATGAGTGAAACAGGCAAAGCATCGTTTCAATCTTTCGCAAGGCTTCAGGTTGAAAGTCTGGTTGATGAGTGCTCTTTTCCTCTTGGTGGTGTGGAACGTCACCTTTGGGCTGAGGGTGAGCCTCCTTTGGTAGTGTGTGTGGATTGGCCAACTGTGTGTAGTTTTCGAGAGTGCTTCGAAGTATGAAATCGCCAAAGCATTGAATCTGACTGCCCAGGACTTGCCTGCACCTACCTCGCCCAGGCGACAGATGGGCGATGTTTGGGTGCCGAAGCAAGTTGGAAGCTCCAATGGCAGGAATTTCATGCTTCCTTGTCAAGCCATAAACAGGGTCCACACGTTTGCGACACATCCTGTTGTAACCCGCGTCCTGTTGTGAACTATCGCTAGAAAACATCTGAGAATTTGCCAGCTATTGTTCTTTTGAGCACGATCCGCGAGAATGCGGCCGAATGTGTTTTGCGTCGGTGTGGATTACGTCGGTGTGGATTACTCTTGACAACAGCAAGGAGTTGAGGTATGCTGACCCGCGATGCTTAGGGATATGCTGTAAAATATGGTCCAACCTGTGAAATGTTGCACACAGACTCTAAGATGAAACTGCATGCCAGCGTTGTTGCTGTTGCCGTTGCTGTTACTGCTACTGTTGTTCTTGTTCTTGTTCTTGAAGTCTTATTGTTCATGCAGTCGGCGTTGGTTCCTTCCTATTATTGTTTGGCTTGTTCGACGTATTCTGGCCTGGCTGCTCTTGTTTTCAACAACAACGACGACGACGACGACGACGACGACGACGACGACGACCACAACAACAACAACAACAACAACAACAACAACAACAACAACAACAACAACAACAACAACAACAACAACAACAACAACAACAACAACAACAACAACAACAACAACAACAACAACAACAACAACAACAACAACAACAACAACAACAACAACAACAACAACAACAACAACAACAACAACAACAACAACAACAACAACAACAACAACAACAACAACAACAACAACAACAACAACAACAACAACAACAACAACAACAACAACAACAACAACAACAACAACAACAACAACGACAACAACGACGACGACGACGACGACGACGACGACGACGACGACGACGACGACGACAACAACAACAACAACAACAACAACAACAACAACAACAACAACAACAACAACAACAACCACAACCACAACCACAACCACAACGACAACCACAACCACAACCACAACCACAGCGACAACCACAACCACAACCACAACCACAACCAGAACCAGAACCAGAACCAGAACCAGAACCAGAACCAAGTTGTTGGTTTTTGATGGTGGTGTGGTGGTGCTGGTGTGGTGCTGGTATGGTGCTGGCGGCGGCGGCGGCGGCCTTTGCTGCTGCTCGATTTGTGATGAATGTTCTGTTCTGTCATCCAGTAATGGGCGAAGCACGTCGACAAGCCGCTGACAAGTCGGTTCTTGTCGAAACATTTGCTTTGCAACTGGCGCCTGCGTGCTCTTTGGGGCATGGTGTCGTTGTGGCGGTGCCAGCGCTGGGCCCGTGGTTCGCTCAGGCTGATCCTGCTTATCGCGGGGCCTTCCGGCAAGGCAGGACGCAACTGACGAAAGGTCGCAGATTTTAATAGGTCAGAGCTAGCACGGCACGAAGCAGGTGTGTTCCAATCCTGTATTGTGGCTGTGGGTCAAAACCAATCGCACCAGTTCGGGGTAGGTGCACCACCCATTTTAGTCTATTTTAGTGGGGATTGGGATGTTCACTGGGGGTACGGGCTTTTGACCCATGGCCATGTGAGTATTCCAAACTCATTTTACCAGTTTGCCCTCCAGCTCGCAAGCATGGCGGCAGAGCAAGTCCCATGTCAGACCCAAGTGCCATGCGATCGCCCGCCTCCGCAGCAATGTATTGCCACGCTCAATCGAATACATAGCGCCCCATGCCATATAAGAAGAACTAGCCCCTTGGCTGCACACGTGGCATGGGCCGAAGTGGGCCCTGCAGGGCATCGGCTCTGGCGATCAAGGCTGAGAGCCTGATTCAACGTGAACACTGAGCACATCGCTTCCAACCGGTAGCCCGTAACGGCGTCAAGTTAAGGGTTTCAAGGCATGCCTTTGCTCTTGCCCTTTGAGGCTTGGAGGAACTGTTGCGCTCTCAGGAGCCACGAAGTTGCTTTTCGTTCCACGTTGTACAGTTGCTTGCCTGCGCCTCCGGCTCTCTGAACTGTCAGCTGTTGGTCTTGGTGGTTTGCGCTTGGCACGTGTGGGGTATTTTTGTGCCGGGGGGGGGGGTACGCTCAGCTCGAGCCGAGCATTGGCTGAGGCCCAGCATGACAGGACACGCTGAGAGCGAGGCAGGGCCAAGAGCGGGGCAGATCGGGCGGGGCCTAGGGCGCTCCGGGCAGGTGGGCCAGGCATGGTGGATGTCTTGCCCCGGGTTCCCATGGGCCAGCTGTAGTTCAAGTGCATCGAGAAGCCATGAACCTCCAGTTTGGGCCCAGTTGACCATGAGTCAAGCTAGGATTTATGCCTTTTCAGGGCTTGGAAAGCTTGCAAGGAAGGCAAGCCCCGGATAAACTGGCCCGTGCTGCCAGGAGGACCCCCTCCTCAAGAAGGGCCAGTCGCGGCGTTGCTGCAAAGACGAGAGTCCTCTTGAGAAAATCATCCATGGGGTCTCCCAAATGGAGGTTCCTGTACGTGTTTTGGTGTTTGGTTTCCGTTCCTGGCCCTCCTCAGATCAGGTTTGGAAGGTCGACATTGGCTCAGAATTTTGAGGCAGCTTTCACTTGCAGGTGTCACTTAGGTCTCCAGGGCACCTCCAAGTCTCCCCCCGTGACTCATATTTCTGTGGGTCAAAACCAATACCATTTTGGGATAGGTGAATTCACCACCCGCTTTAGAACCTATTTTAGATGGGGATTGGGATGTTCACTGGGGGTACCGGCTTTTGACCCATGGCCATATTTGGATTTCTGGGCGCGCGGGGAGTTTGTCTGAGGCCTATCACGCGCAAAATTGGGGATACCGTCATTTGCTGCTGCCTACCTCCGGCCATGATCGCTGCGTGGCATGCCGGCAGTGCATGCTCCGCGCTTTCGCTTGGGGGGGGAAGGGTGCTTTGACGTGGCTTTGACGTTTACGTGTCTTTGTTGGTTTGTCCGCCCAGAATATGAAGAAGGAAAGGGCGGAGGGACTGTTCTTGTATTTCGCATGGAGACTTCGCTTCAGCTGCGCTCGTCACATGTCTCTTTTTCGCCTGGTCTGCTCAGGTCGGCCACGCTGATCCGCGCCTTGGAATCAAAGGCGACGGCAAAGCGCCTGCGGATGTAGAAAAGGTGAAGTGCCATACAGCTGGATTTCCTGCAGCTTACTAAATCCGGGATTGCGACCGTTTTTGGGTAACAGATCGGCCGCATCCACCTGGCCCTTTGCCCAAGACCTAGGGCAGAGGCAGGTTCTCCCGGCAGGGCTCTTCGTCCACAAGCCCAAGCGTCAATCAGCGCCAGCTTGCGAGGGTTGCTTGCGCTGAAGAGCTTTAGGTACCAACCAATACTTGATGCAGCCGGATGTCTTCCCATACCCCTTCATCATGGTCATCATGCACTGCATCTTCTGCTGCTCGGCATGCGTTTCGGGTCGGAGCGATTCGGAGGCCTTGGCTGGGGCAACGTTTCTGTCACTTCGGATCTCGCAGCCAGCCTGCAGGCTTGCCAATGAGAATGTCTTTCCGTGATCGGCACCAAGTGAATGAGCTTCTCCAGTAAACAAGAGAAGTGTGGCATTATATGTATATATATATACAAACAAATCCATAAATAAAGGGATACATATTTCCACACCCTGCAAAAGCGTCGCGCGAGCAAGTGATGCCCTTCGTATAGCACTGGCCCAAGGCTCCCTCTTCGGTTTGCTGCTGCTGGCCCTGAAGCCCGCGCTCTTCCCGGCCCTCACCGCGCCTCGGACGAGACGCGGGGGACGCGGCGGACTCGGCGTGCGGCGTCCGGCCGCTCTCTGCGGGGGCCAATTTTTGGTCGAGGGATAGATTCCTCGAGGCGTTAAGTACTTTCCCCAGTCATTCCCCTGACCAGGTGTCAGGAGACGAGAAGGTGCAAAGCCATTCAAGACCAAGTATTCATGATCCAAGGGCAGCGAATGGGAGTTTTCTCGGTTGAGACCTCCGAGAGGCCCGGTGGTTGTGCCCGATTTCATCTGTTTCTTCCTGAAAGCTGTTTGTTTCTTTGTGGGGGGGCATGTTTTTGGACGGTCAAAATCAACCGCGCGATCTTCGGACTTCGGAGACTTCGGGTCTCACCCCGTCGAACGGCTCACCTGCCTTTGCTACCGACGGCGATGCGCGCGTCGCGTCGCGAGTCGCTCAGGATCCGGACCGCAAGGTGGAGCTCTCCGCGTCCTTCTACAGCAGGCCTCCGATCCGGGATCCGGGCCGTTTGAACGGCTCGAGGTCGGCCAGGGGTTTGAGGTGCGAGTGGGAGTTCTGGAGATTCAATCGTTGGTTGTTTGTTTGACCACACACTCTGCACTTTGCTCAAGCTATTGCTGAAACTGGCTAAAAATCGCTGAACACTAGAAGGTGTGGATCTGTCCATCCAAAGGTCACAAAACTGGAACTGGTGGGATGTTTGTGCGCAGGGCCATCTTGCCTATTGCGATCTGCTTCGCTGTTTCACTGGCCGGGGGCCCTGGCGGCAAGAGCCTTTCTCCGAGCATCAAGCGGATTCCGACGCGGAGTCTTGAGAGGAAGAGCAGTCTAGTGCATGAGCCACCGGTGGAATGTCAAGTGCTCCGAAGCCATTACAGCTGGCGAGTCAAAGAGCTCAGGTCCTTAGCAACATGGCCTACAAGTACTGCACCCTCGCCTTCCTGCAGATGCTCAAGGAGAGCAATATTGCCTCTTGACCCTAGGTGGCCCCCAAAAAAACACCGGCCCCTTGTTTGGGGAGAAATCCCCGAAACCCGAAATGCCGAAATCCCATCGTCCGCCCATGCCCGCCCACTGAGGTGAACATCTACGTCATGTCTCTGTTGGCCGGCATTGAGAAGTTCTCCACAGCCCTCTGGCCCGGAACTGGATCGATCGGTGAGTGAGGCCCTCCCAAGAGCCAAGCGAGTTTGATCCAACGGAGCTACCGAGTTTGATTCAATCAGTGGGTACTGGAAGAAGCCAGAGACCCCCCCCACAGGGGCCTGCCGGGGGGGTTGATGTCACGCAAGCCTAGGGGGTTTTGATGTCACAGGGATCGGTGTGAAATGCCGTGAAAATGCGCCCGAGGGGCCAGCTGTGATCCTGGTGACCATGCTGCTGGCAACCTGGACCGGGTCTTTTTGTCAGCTTTTGGGCCAAAGACAAAGCTCATCCAAAAGCCCCATGAAGGTAAACAGCTGGCAAGACAGCTGGTGTGTGTGTGTGTGTGCTCTCGGTTGCCTCCAGAAATCAGGGGGAGATGTCCCCCCCAAGTCGTTGCAATCTCCTCCAATTGCCACGAATCTGGGCAGTGGTCGGTCGGCTACGCGCATAGGCTGCTTTGCTTGGATCGCGTTAGGAGCTGCGTGGAGGGGGAGTTGAACTTCTCTTTGGCGGGCTTCTTGACACAGGGCACTGCCAGCCTCTGTGAAGCCGCCCGGGCCCCATGGCTCCCGTGGCTCCCATGGCGCATGGCCCAGAGTTCTGGTCGCAGATCTGAGGCCAAGACCATCTTCCAGTGCCTGGTGCTGTCGGGCCCCAGGCGCCTGGACCCCTTGTCCACAGCACCTCGGATGAGTTGCATTTGTCGGATGTGAGGCGTGAGGCTCGATGGGGATGATTTCAGAGAAAGATGGCTGGCTGGTTAGGCGTGCCTTCAGAAATTTTGATCATTTGGTCTCAGCAGCAAGTGACCACGCGGCGGTGACAGTCCAGGTGTTGGTGGTGATGCCAATGTGTGGATTTCTGCTGATGACCGTTGTGGTCTTCAACAACGTGGCAGCTCGGACCTATTCACGGCGTGAGGTGAGCTAGCAGTTTTGCTTTGTGGCTCATTGGGATGGTCAGCAACTTCAGAGGCTTCATGACGGGCATTTTAAAGTCCAAGGATGCCTCCATGCAAGTGGTTTCGACCACGGCACAGATCTGCATTCAGATGAAGCTAACATGACTGACGAGTGGTATGTCGGGCCCACTGTGCCCTTCTCTCCCCTTTCTTGGGGGAGGGTTCCCCTACTAAAATAGACACAAAAGAGAAAAGTGGGTACCCTTTTTTGTAACCTCTCTACTGGAGGACCTAGCAAGGACACCCAACCCCCAGAGTGTCCATCTCAGACAGCCCTCCGATGTGGCCGAGGTCATGCCTTTGAGCTTCGTGACGCAGCCACACCTCTCGGAGATTGTCGCCATGCGCACCTGGGGCCGGAAAAAACGGCGCGAAGGTGTTCCTTTCTGTTTTTGGTCTTCCTTGGGTTTGGGCCAAGGTTTGAGCGGGGGTTGGACAGGGGGGGGGGGGAGGGGGGGGGAAGGTTGCTGTTCTCCGGTGTCGTTCTTGGGGGGGTTGGTTGTGGTGCGGTGTTTTTGCTGGTCAAAGTTTGGGGACATGCAGCAAGCTCAACTTGTGAAGACTTCAGGATGGTACTTGGCCTTGAACATCTCCAATGCCTTCGCCCCAGCCTTAGCTCAAAAAGTCGAGTGGGTGTACTTCTTGGTCCGAATGTGCGCAATTTTTCTCTCCGAGTGGGCCTCAAGCCATAATTTCCTCTTTCAGAGAATTGGCCATGGGGCATAACCTATGGCTCGATTTTGAGGTGGATGAACATCCATTTGCCATTTCGATGTTCACCAGGGGTACAGTGTTTTGACCCACGGCCAATTGACTAAGTCTTTGATTGCGAGCCACACCCTGGGACACCTTTCGGGGACTGGTTGAAGGTGCTGAATGTCCTCATCGCCATGTTCCTGTCGTACCTGAGCCCTGTGGCCTACATCCTCACGGGAAATGTGGCTTGGAGCCAGGGCATTTGGGATCACGTGACAAGAGCCACCAGTTGCCTGAGCTCAGTGCACCAGTTGCTGGCCGAGTTCCCCACCTAAAAACCTAAGAATCCCTCTGGAACGAAGCCGGTGGCTCTACAGGAGCAGTGGATGCGGTTCAGTGCAAGTTTTGATGGGGTGAACGGGCCAGGACCAAGACTTCCTTTAACGGACGAATCACGTGCAGCACTTGAAGCAAATTTGGAGCCATGCTCGGGGCTGTTTGGAGAGCCCGTTTTGCGCTCAGGTGAAGGATATCGTCATTGCAGCCCGGCAGAGAGTGGTTGAACGGACTTGCAATTCTGGAGAGCCTCGCAAGTCTTGGCAAAGTAAGGCAAGACGTTGAACGCAGGTAGCCGCATGAATTGATCTCACCTTGGGCTGGTCCCATTTTTGCTGTGTCCCAAAGCGGGGCAAGCTAATAACTTGTGCACCGACAAAGCATCGCTGCTTGCGTGTCTTGGATCCTGGATCCATGAAGCCCAGGTGCTGATGTCTTCCTGGCTGATGCATGCACCTTGCCCAAAGTCGTTTGCGTTGCTTCGGTTTAAGAAGTGCCCAGAAGGCGCTACAAAAAGAAAGCTGCGTGGCGACACCAGGTGGACGGAATTTGGCCATGTTCCGAATGGCTCAGGGCACCCTTGTAATGTGGCTGCTCACAACAAACTCACCAAAGTGGCACCTTGGCAAATGGAACCCAAGACTAACTGCGGAACCCTGGCTCTTGAATCTGCCACACCCACCACCACCCATGTGGCGACAATTTTCGAAGCGCAAGGCCACTGAGCCGATGGCTAAGGAGACGGTGAGCCACATGCAGGTCTTCGGCTTCACGGTGCAGATCTGCTGCGTCTGCGCCTGGTCCATCGCGAAGCAGCAGAAGCCCCGCGGTGGCAACTGGCGCGGCCAAGACTTTCGCCACGTCAGCATGGAGACCCTGGCAAAACTGTGGTCAGGTGACGAGTTCTGGCAAAACCGGGCCTCATTGGCCTCGCTTGGAAGCAAGGACCCTGGCCTGTCGGAGTTTTGTACCCGTTCTTTTTTGCTTTGGGCCCGTCCATCCTGCTCGGCAGACCGCTTCCAGCAACGCCTATGGTGTGGAAACAGAACGATTGACAGATCTGAGGCAGAAGAGTGCGGAGCAGTCCGAGGAGACCAACTGACGGGCGAAGCCGCGCACTGAATTTCTCAGCTCGTAGGCGCGGTGCCGGGACCTCCCTGAAAGCGAGGTGCCAAACGCCACGAAGTCAAAGATGACGGTCTGACGGAAAATATGTTCAGCGGACTTGAGTTTCTCAAGCGAAGCAGCACGACACAGAGCCCCTACGAAGAATACCGAAGATGAATTGTCTAGATGGCGCTTGCTTTGCTTGCAGTTGGACTTGTACCACCGTCCAGGCCACTTGCTGTTCCAACATGGTCCGGTCAGCGCCTTCTTTGTTCGGAATGCAGAGGTTAAACTGGAGTTGCGCTTGGCCGCGCACGCGACTGCGCCCGGGCCCACACTTGCCGGCTCAAGAAATTAAGTCAGGCCTCTCAAATGGAATGCATGCGCTCGGCATGCCGATGCCATCCTGACCTCAAGGCGCGGATCGTCAAGACAGAGATAGGTTCTGAGTGCCCGTCCGGTTCAAAGTGCTTGAAAGACAGGTCGCAATCCCAAAAGTAAGCCAAAATCCAATGGTCTTGGCTATGTCTATGACCCAGATGCATATGTATCAGGCAGTCTGCATAGCTGCTAGATCCTTGCATGGGTAGCTTCATGTCGCCGGTTTGTTCCGTTTGTTCTTGACTAGGAATGCGCGGCTTCGTCCTGGCCTTTCTCTGGGCACCCCTGGAGGCTGTGCATCCCAAGGAGGCCCTTCAGGCGCAATCCCTGTCGTCGGATCCAGCGCGCAAATCGCCTCGACGCGTGTTTTTGCATGGCCCTCGTGAACGTTTTGGGTCAATCTGACGTGGTGCCTACAAATTCACGTGACTGGACGGCCGGAGCCTCATGTGTTATCAGTCAGACCCGAAGACTTGGTGCAACGTGAGGACCTCGCAAGTTGCCGGTGGGAGGTGAAAGCTCGAGCCGCCAGGTCCTTGCGGATGGCTCGCTGCATTCCGGCCACCATGCCTTCCGTGCCCTGGCTTGCGGAAGGCAACCAGCCGAGGTTCCCGAGAGATTCGCATCTTGTCATAGATCTGTTTGGCACTGTGGCATGCTGCCAGGCTGCGGTTGCCTGCTCGTTTGAGCAGACGCCGTATGTGCGTGTAGGTGCTGAATCGCGTGGGATGCTCCCCCGGTATTTCAGCTCTCACACGGGGCCGTGTCACAAAAAATCTGCCCGAGAGCAGAGTGCCCAGATCCCTTCTCGCTCTTGCGACACGAGCGAGACCGGGAAGGCGACCGAGTAAGCCAAGGCCTGGCAGCGTTGCGTGGCGCGTTGCCAGCCAAAGGCCTCCCCCAGAGCTGCCTTTGGCAGTACAGAACAGGTCACAATCAATCAGGATGCGCTCAAACGAGTAAGCCGCAAAGTCGAGGCCGGGTTGAGCTGTTGGAGGTGTCAATATGCTTCAGGCTCCCATCGGGCTGGTTGTTAGTCATGGGCTGAAACGTCTCTCTCGCAGTGGCTTCAGGGCTGCCGAACGACAGCGGAAATAGTGCCTCGGCCACCATAAGGAGGGCGTGGGGTGCATTCACCAGAAATGCCCGCTGCCATCTACCTCTTCCCCAAGTGGATTTAATTGATTGAAGTGTTGCTGCAATTTATGTCAGGATCCATGTGACCATTGCTCACGGAGTTACCCTTGTGCGGAGGGTCAGGGTTCTGTTCTTGCACGGGCCGATTCGTGCAGCGATGCTGATCAATCTTGGATTGCGACATGCTACGAGCATGGTAAAGCAGTGATGGGATGCCCTTGCTCCATTTGCTACTTCTTTGGGTCCAACGGGGGGGGAGTAACAAGACCCAATCTCCACAAGCTGGCCGACCATTGCCGCATTTGCGTGACAGGAATACACAAAACCATGTCTGAGAACCTGAGTGTTGACCCATGCAACTTCGGCCGGGGTCACACAGGTGCGTTGACCATGACCATACTACCTTTGACGTGCTTGATCCACTCGACTTTGCAATCTGCCTCATGTCCGTTGGTGATTGCATGATTCTGTGCGCATACATTCAGGGTCGATGACTTGCTACTGAACCCCGTGCCAATATGCGCAGAGGTGACTTAACCCCGTCGCTGGCCAATGTCACCAACTCCATCGACCATTTTCAAGGCTCGGAGCAGAGAAGCGGAGATGTTCCACTGTCAAGCGCAGGTCGAGTAGATGAACAAATATTGACGTGGAACGCTGTGGAACGCTTGCCAAAATCAGCCAACATCAGCCAACAATGTTTGTCTACTCAAGTTGCACTGATTGAGGTGCAAGTCCTATTGGCTGTGCTGCCTGAGCGCAGAAGGGAGTTTTTTGGGAGGAAGCGTTTGAGCGATGCCACTGCCAGGCAACGTCTCCTCTGCAGATGTGATGAGGGTGCGCATGGACGGGCATGGCACCTTGACGAGCTCAACCAAGAGTCAACTCAGAACTCGGGTCATTGGTCATGTTTTTAGAGAGGTACTATTCAAAGGGCTGGGTCTTCAACAGGAAAACAGCTCATGTACGGTGGTTTGGGGCCATTTCCAGTAGACCTTCCTGCAATCAAACCCTTTGAACTATAGATAGGTCGATCAATTTTGAAGAGACGCTAAGAAGGGAAGCAATTTGCCTGGACTGTGCCTGCAGTTGCTTGCGCGGCCTGTTGCCCCATGACCGGGCAACACCTCCCGCACATTCCGGCAAGTCTCAATAGGCCTCGCTTCTTGTCCACTGTGGGCCCTATACAAGCGTATTCCTGATTGGGGGCTTCAAGCCTGCTGAATCTGTCTGAGTCCAGACGGGCGGCTTCAAGGCTGCTGGTTCAATCTATTCCACTCGCGGGGCTGCAAGCCTGCTGAATCAGTCTGAGTCCAGACGGGTGGCTTCCGTTCTACTTCATGCTACATGTCGGATGCCAACCTTCCCCTCAGGCAGCTCCCTTCATGCTGTGCAGGGCTTGTGTTTCTTGGGAGCTGCTTCCAGCCTGAGGCGACACCTTGGAGCTGGTCAGCACCGTGATCTTCACCTTGACCGTCAGCGCTCCTCGGTCCTCGAAGCTCCCGAGCCGTTGGAGTTTTCAGGTCCCTTCCGAATGCTCCACGCTTGGCACACAGGGAGCAAAAACATCAACCCTTCAGGGAGTCGAGAACCATCAATTCAACTTGGGGGTGTGTTTTGCCAATGGCTTGAAAAAACTCGGTATGTCCATCTCTCAGTCTCAGAGTCACTCTGGACACCGATCCTTCTCCCACTTTCGCAGCTCCCCCTGCTGCGCTTCGGGCGAAAATTTTCGGAGCCCTCGAGGTTTGGATGATGGTGGCCTTCAAGGTCCTCAGCTCCTTCTATCCCGTGCTCTACTCCCAGCGCGCCTCGCCTCGCCCGGCTCGCCCAATCGGTTCGCCCAATGCCCGGCCGGCTTCCAGGCGTTTTTTTTGGTCTGAGAGGCTGCAGGTGGCACTTCACATGCCGCGAGGCGAAAGAGCGGAAGTGGCTTAAACGCACTCGTTAGTCAAGAGGCATGCTCCTTAAGTTCTGCTAGGTCCCCCCAGTAGTGCCCTTGTACCAACTTGTTTGGGGGAGACTTCCCCTACAAAAATAGACAAAAAAGAGAAAAGTGGGTACCCTTACTCTAACCTCTCTACTGGAGGACCTAGTCTGGATCCCTGCAAAACCTCCAGAAGCCGATACCGAGGGAAGTGGTGCTCCCAAAATGGATGTGAATTGCTCACACATGAAAAAGGTCAGGCCCCGTCGAAACCAAGTGACAGGCACGTGAAGTCGAGAGGCTTGCCGGCATGCCTTTGGCCCACTGCCACGGAGCAGCAAGTTTGCTTGCGCATGAGCAGGATATAAAATCAGAGGAGACACCAATGCAAGTGTTGACACGCTCCGAGAATCAAGGGGCGGCCCCAGCCTGTTTTGGGGTAGAAACTGGTACAAACAATCTCTGGGGACTCTGGTTCACTCAGAGCACCACATGGGTATGGCTCAAAATTCAAGAGCAAGGGTTACGCAGATTTTAGTCTTTGGTTCCATTTACCAAAGGGGCCATTTGGGCACATGTTTTTGAGCTACAGCCACATGGTCGACCTGTTCAAGTTTGTGTGTGTTGCCACTAAGGAGAGCTGGAGCATCTGGGCTTTGTGCCAGAGGGCGCGGGCTGGGCACAAGCGCTGCAGGACTGCGTTTGGCATATTGCCGCAGGGTTTTTGCTCACTTAGGGGTGTGGGTCGAAACCAATGGGATCCCATTTTGGGGTAGGTGCACCACCCATTTTAGAACCTATTTTAGTCGGGATTGGGATGTTCACTGGGGGTATGTGATTTTGACCCATGGCCATTTGGGTGTGTGGCTCAAAATTAAGCAGCTGGGGTTACGCAGGTTTTGGTCTACTTGTCCATTTACCAGGGTTCCATGTTGGACCTCATTTTTTGAGCCACACCCATTTAGGGACAGTTGTTTTGAGACAGATTTGTGTTTTTGCTGTGAAACTCGTGGCCGACTTGAGGGTGTGGAAGCCACTAGCTACGACGATGTCCATGAACGAATGCACTTCTTCAGAGATCATTTGGTGAGGTTAACGCCGTCTTGGGCTCTATTCGCAGTGTTTTCTCTTGTTGCTCGGCATGTCATGGAAGGAGGATTGTACTTGAGCCGCTCGCTGGCATCATTGGAATTGTGTTCTGGCAGAGCCATTTGCACATCAAGCATTACTTTTGGTACCGAAACCGCAAGAACCCCCATCGTGGAGTCTGAATGAGCAAGGTGAGCCAGGATGGTTTAGTCAGCGCTTTGGCCTGGGTATCACCCATCATGTGTAGTCACAATCTGGACTGGGTATTTTGTAGTCACTATGGTGATCACAGTTACAAAATGGGTCACTCTCGTTGGTGTAACTATGGTTCAGTGTGTTTTCGGTGTTTTCGGTGTTTATGTTGCTTTGCCCAAAATGGAGTTGGTTAAAGCAACACCAAAATGGTTCCGAGTGTCTTCGATGTGTTTTTGGTGAACACGTCGCCAGGACGTCACCTCCTTGTGGCATCAACTGAAGCTCGCGTCCTGGCAGCAGTCTCCACCGCCTTTGAAATGAAACGTGGAATTCCACTTACAGCTTCCTTAGCATCTCCTGCTTGGCCTGTTAGTTTATTATATGACATATATATATATATATATCTCGGCTGTATTGTGTCATGTTTTGGTCTTGCCATTGAGGCGATCTTCCTGAAGGAGGAGCACGTTCTGGAAGTGCAAGGGCTGGATGCATGGATGCACCTCCAGTTCCAGTGGCCGCTGAGCTAAGGATTTCCTGACTCAGTTCGGCTGAAACGGTTGGTTTACACACGCGGCAGTATGGTGGTCCATTTAGGGCAGAGGACACGGAGGAACTCCCTAATTCTCCCGCAAAATAAAAAACAAGTTGCCTCACTCATGTCCCAGCCTGTGAATTGTGTTCAGGCTGCCAGTGTGGGAGAACACCATGATCTCTTGCGGAAACCAGTAACTTTGACCGTGGCGCGCGTAAGGGGCACGGACTTGGTAAAGGGCCAGGTGAGTGCTGCTTCGGACTCCAAGGCTGGCGATGCGAATCCTGCTGTTGCTTTGCGTGGTGCCGGCGCGACTCTCAGTGGGCCTGCCAGTTTTCGGCCCAAAGCAACGAGGATCGACAGTTCCCAACAGGTCTTGGCTGCAAATGTCATTCAGTGGAGTGCAAGGGGTCAACTTTGGCCTGTGCTTCCCAAAGGAGTTTTTGCGAACGCTCTCGCGTCCCGTTTTCGACCGATCTACTCGAACCCCATGGCTCACTCGCGCGAAGCCGAGGTGATCGTGTGCCCGCTCCACTGGACGCACGCCCACGCCGAAGAGCTCTTCTCGCGATTGAACCTGGCGGTGGGCGAAGACCGGCACATCGTGCCCTCAGAAAAACCACTTCGATGGTCCTCGGAGGGTTTGGGCGGGGTCAAGGCTCGGATTTTGCAGGGAGAAGTTTAGGTGACAGCGCTCTTCTTTTCAGTGGACCTTCAGAGATGGCCTAGAATCACAACCTGCGGTGTGGCAGGTGTTTTCTACTCGTGTGATGTGCACATCCGTGATCTGAAGGTGCTTTGGATCCACGTGATCGTGGTTTGGGCTGTGAGCACCATGACCACTCGTCGCTTGGCCTGAGATGCTTCTGGAACCATGGTGTTCGGAGCATGTGGCTCTCTGCTCTGATCTAGCCTCATGATCCAATGTCAGCGCGATCTGTGTCGGGGACGACACACAACCCGCTTGAGTGTTGGAGTGACGTCCTTGGTGCTGACACCACGAAGAAGGTGTCCCTTTTTCAGGTGTCCTTTTGCCGGGGACGCAGGACTCACGTGATCGTTTCAAGCAGAAATCCGCGACGAGTCTCAGGACAGCTGCACCTGGCCATGAAGGGCTTCATGGGGAAGCGGTACCAGTGGCTGAGCACCATGCCATTCCCGCAGTGCACCACCGTGCTGGCCACCTGGGGCGAGCTGAGCCGTGTAGGGGGACCGCTTCGAATCGACGTTTGCCTGAGACGCAAGTAAGGAAACCCGGTGCTTGGACATCAAATTTGAGTGGGGAGTCATGTGTCCACCCAATCTTGAGATTCCGGCCGGGGTGGAGGGAGAGGCATTGGCTGAAGTGGATTGCTTCTCATGGGTACCCAATAACCAGCTCTCACCACAGGCAATCCCAAGAGTTGGATTTCCATCCAGGAAACGCATGATTCCATCAATGCGATGTGTTCGGGTCAATGGAGGCACTTCCGGCGATTATGTTTTCAGCTTGGGAGCCGATATGGTTGTTGGTCGCTTCAAACACAGTGAATCTAAAAATACACGAGATGTGTAGGTCGTGAGCAATTCGCCTTGTGCTGTTCAAGCCACGGATTGTGGTCGTGGTGCTTCCCCTGTGAGGTTTGGCTCATCCTTCTGGGGGCTAGTGGGAGGAAATGCTGGAACACGATCGCACTGCAACAAAGCACCTTTGCCAAGCACCATCTAAACATTGCAGCTTGATGCCCTTGGGATGGTCAGCACTGATGGTAACAGAGGCTCCTGAGAGCTCTGGTTGACCCCCGCCTTTCTGTGGCCGCATGGGGTCCGGGTGTGTCCAAGGTTGAGGGCATCCCCGAGAACATGTGCTCCGACTTCCGTGGCTTGCTTGCAGTAGGCACGACCAACTGTGCGAGTGGTGTCTGAGCAGTGCAGGGGGTTCTCGCGAAATTGGTGAAACCAATGGACACGCTACTTGATTGCTATTGGGTTGGATCTTTAGACTTAAGCTTTTTGGTTGAAATCAAGGGGTTTCTCACTGAAGCCACAAGTCGAACTTTTTGCAGAAGGGGTCAACAGCAACCAGGACTCCAGAAGCGAACCATGAGGATAGCTCGATGGCACCAAGCTTCTCCATCGTGAGGTGAGCCACACTCAAATCCCGGCATAAGTGAAGGGACGATCCCCTTGCCATAAATCCGCGGAAATCCATGGCTCTTAGTTCTTCAATTGCATGGTTCCGGTATTCGACCACTTGAATACCGCAATCAGCACACTTTTGGTCGGAGATCTTTTGGTTTTTTTCTTCAATTGCATGGTGGGACGACCAGCTCTTTCCGCGTTTTGAGCGAGCGAGCACGTGGCTCAGGTCTTCACTCCTACTTCTCAGGGCTCTTTGGGGAGAACGCCGTGGTGCGCAGCGCCTCAGCCGGAACGTTGGCTCAGATCTGTGCCTCAACCGCCCGCTTTTTGCCTGTGGTTTGCTTCATGGCGTCCTATTTGAAGAAATCAAAAGGGAAACGCCGGAGGCCTAGGGCTGATTTTCGTTTTTCGGCGCGAAACGAACACTTGCCAGGCTATGTGGTGCGAAACAGCAAGCTGCTGCAGAAGAAGCTGGAGAGGCGCGCGGGGGAGATAATCCAGCATTCGCGTTGTCCTCTCCAAGCTCCTACAAGCATACCCCAAATCGACCTACCCCAGGAAAAGAAGAAATTGATACCGAGGTGCAGGACAATCCAAACGGCCCCCAAAAAACCATCAGGGTATCCTGGTGTCTTCCGGGCTGCGCGGCTTCCGACGCCCAGGCTGCGCAAGGCACAGCGAGCCTTGCAGAAGGCCATTGCCAGGACCCAAAAAGCGCCGTGAGGTGTCAGCGCGTCGCTTCGAAGCGGAAGATCCTTACAGTCGGCTTTGGTTTCTCACGCCGTGGGCCTGAAACTGTGGACGGACCAAATCCTGCACTGATTGAAACATATTAAAACCATGGGAAACCAGTAGTATGTATAAGGGAATCATCATCCCATGGTCTCTTAGGTGGTGCAGGATTTCGTGCATCCATTTCGTGCTTGATATATAGAGTAGTCGCTCGCGTGGCCGCTTGTGCAAGTTGTCTGGCAATGCCGCGCGCGGAGCGAGGCAGAGGGCGACCTGGCCTCCAATCAGCTGGTGCAGCGCCTTGCCGTGAGGTTTGTGTGACGTGTTGACGTTGCACGTGGATCAGAACACAACTGCCTCTTTGGGGACCCATGTACCACCTCTGATGTTCAGGGATACAGGGTCACAGCCACATTGCGCGTGGCATGGGGTTCCACTGGATCCTGAGAGGAAAGAGACACTTGTGATTGAAGAAACAAGCCGATACAGACATTTTTCCACTGGTCACAATATTTGGGCGAGTGAGCTGGTTCAAGGTTCCGCCGTGAGTCCGTGGCTGACATCAAGGAGCGGCAGCGAGCAATGCCAATCAGAATTCTTGGGCGCGGCGCGGAAGGCATTGCTAGGTCCCCCAGCAGTGCCCTTTTACCAACTTTTTTGGGGGAGGGTTCCCCTAGTAAAATAGACTACAGAAAAAAGGGTACCCTTATTCTAACCTCTCTAGTGGAGGGCCTGGATTTGGGTGACAGGTGCGGGCCACAGACCTCGGTGTTGTGCAATCAGGAGGAAGTGGCTGCAGAGCGGATACGCCTTGGCCGGTTGTCCCATGCGCTGGATCCCGATGCACCCTGGGCTGCATCCAAATTCCCACATAACCCATGGCCTTCTGAAAAGAAGTCAGCACATGTCAGCCACTCCAAAGGTCACAGTGAAGGGACTTTCCGTTAATCTTCCAGAAAGCCAAAAGGATCCTCGCTGCATGGACCAAGTGGTCGTTTTCGCAGTTCCAGTTCCAGCCCGTCTGCCAATCCTTGGGCAAGATGTGAGGGACTCACGCAGTGCCATGGGAATACCGCCGCAAGCTTCCAAATGCCAAAAGGTTTCCAGGCAGAAAACGATGGCTGGGAATTCTACGCTTTGACCTTCCCTGTGCAAACCGCTCAAGTCTCGAATTGGGTGAAGCTGGGACCCGAGGTCTGCACCAACACGGGCTTCGTGACCTTCCGGACGCGCCTGGACATGCGCCTGGCCGGGGCGACAGCTGAATGGGACACGGGCGCTGTGAGGTGTGGCTATGAGACCTGAGTCATGTCTGTAAATCCGTGGAGCTTGTGCCAAGCTCAAAGTGCTCAAGATTGTTGGCGATGCAATGCACTTTCAGGTGACTACACTGCTTGTTGCGCTCCTTTCAGGGGTGCTCCGGTCTGTCGTTGAGGTTCCATGTTGAAGCAGCCCTTTCCCTCAACAGGCGGTTAATCAAAGAGCCCGGCCTGGGCCCCGCTAATGGATCTTGCGGAACATTCATACGCCATACACCTAGGATTTATCCAAGCGCAGAAAATCTTTCGAGACGTGTCTTACTCTGAGCAACTCGTAACCTGGTGGCTCCCAGCCATCCCCTTAGCCTTCTAGGTTTTTAGTCCTTAGTGGGGATTCCCATTTCACCCACTAAAAGTCAGTTAAACTTTTAGCGGGGGATCCGAGGAAAGCCCAGGAAAAAGCAGCCCCCAAACCCCACGCACGTCCCAATCGATTTGTGCCCGGAGGTCGGATCTGAGGACAGCAACTCGCAAGTCTTTGCTCCACGAATTGGCGCTTCCGCCAGGCGGCCCGGGAGCAGCTGGGCACAGACTCCTTCGCGCTGCAGCTCTGCGCAGCGCCGGAGCCCGAGGACGTGCACTACGCGCCTCGGCGAAAGAACCAAGCGGGCCCGAGGTGCTCGAAGAAACGCTTGAGGTGTGGCGCTTTGTTTGTTGATCATGGCTTTTTGCTTGTGTTGTGGGGCTTCTTTCTTTGTGGAGCTGGCATTGAAGAGGTGATCTTCAATCAAAGAATCCCACTGTGGAATCATCACACAGATCTGAAGGAGGTTCCACTTCCCCCAACCGAAAGACCAGTGCATAGCATTTCTATACCACAAACCCATTGAAGACGGAAAGAACAGACTTTTCTAGGGGTACCTGCCCCATTCTTTCCAGGAATCCTTCTTTCTAGAATGGAGAAATGGCTGGTTTCTGAAAAGAACGATGGCTGAAAAGAATGGGAAAGGAAGCAACCCCTACAACTTTGGCGCCAGAGGGTCGAAGAAGCGCCTTGAGCTGTCAGGAGAGCCTCATCCTCCGGCCCAGCTTCGCCCAGCAACGCCTGGGCTGGCTCAGCGTCTTCAGCACCTTCTTGGCCTTTCTGCCGGCCGCGCCTGGGCAAAATCTGGGCGTGGCTCAAAATTTAAGAGCCAGGGGACCTCAGGTCCTGTCTGCGTTTCCATTTTCCCGAATTCCAGTTTGGCCCTATTTTTGAGCCACACCCATCTCTCCTCTGGGGGTGATGTTCAGGGGCGACATAGAACAAGCTCCGGGGATAGCGCGTCAATCTGTCTTGTACATTTGATGACACAAATTGCTGGCATCTAAAGGAATCATTTTGAGCAACTTTTTCTCAGGGTGCCAGCAATGGCCAATTTGGAGAATGCTTCGCAGGCTCGTTTCGTAACCAGAAGAGTTGGTTTGATTGATGGGGTATGGTGACACCGAGTCGAGGTATTTGGTCATCCGCCCGCCTTCCAGTGCACGACTCAGGTGGTGTTTGTCTCCACCCTCCTGAGCTTGAACAGCTGGCAGCAGCTGTTCCCAGTCATCCACAGGCAGGAAGCGGCCAATGCGAGGATAGTCTCCAACGCATCATTGAACGACAAGATGGCGGGGCGGGCCCGCATAAAAATCGCGGTTTCAGTTGCGAGACATGCTGGAGAGGGCATCGGAAAGGAAGGTCAGCAGCCATTCCGGAAGCAGAAGACTAGAACTCTTTTGTCGAATCATTTCAGATCGCCCTTGGGTCTTGTTTCGTTTTGGTGAGGGACGGACCTGTTCAGTTGCCCGGGTGCAGAGACCCCTTTGCAGCCCCAGGTGGCGGCGTACTTCGCCCATTGCCATGGAGATGTCTCTTGGCTTGTGCCAGCGCCTGTCCCGAGGCAACAGAACGGCCTAAGCCGCCTAAGCAGGTTTTCTTGAGGCCGGCTGAATTGACCAACCACAGAAGGCCAATGTAGAAAGCCATCGAATCCTAGCGTCAAGCAGCAGCAATAGCAGCAGCGCAGAGACGCAGCGAAGCATGTTGCACGCCGAGGCTCGAGGGCGTGCTTGCCACGCTGGGCTTGAAGCTGATGCTCAGCTTCATCCCCTCCATTTTGCTGACGCTCGGCCGAGTGAAGTTGCTGCAACTCAGAGAAACGGCGAAGTCGGTGACTTGAAAGGCCGAGATGAGCCATGCCACAGTCAGTGAGAGACCTTGCCAGGTGTGGTGTGGAGATACTAAAACGACAAAGCTTGTCATTCTTCAGATAGCAAGTCATACAGCTCATGTCTTTCAGCACGCTCTATCCCAGCTCTCTTTTTGATGCCTTGGAAGAACTGCCATGACCTGCTGGGGAAGCGAGCGATCCGCCAGCCTAGGAGGATCAAGAGAGCCTTTCTGAAGCCTGCAACTCGGCAAGTCTAGTGGAGTTGGCAGCATTTGAAGCAGGAAAAGGCATGGTCTTCTTTGGTGCTGCAGACGCAGAACTCAGCCGTTCAGAGAGAGAAAGAGATAGCGAGAGAAGCGAAACTACGATTCGCAAATCGTGCCAATCAATTACTCACTACTACTAGTTGTTTGCAGTCTCCATGGGCCACCAATGAAAACGCTCAACGTCATCAATATGTTTCTTATCGGAGAAGTAGGAAAAGCATGGGGCGGAGGCAGTGCATCAGTATTGAACACTCCGGCAAGCTGCTTAAAGCAAGTCCTATGTGCTGCGCTGACATTCTCAGGAAAGCAACAACGATCCTCACAACCCTCAACGGCGGCCGTATGGCGTTTGGGTTGCGGCCATGGCCCAGTTTGCTTCCGCTTGAGGTATCCTATTCTGTTGCCCAACTGCAACTGCAGCGGACCTACTTTACCTTCCTGGTGGTTTTCGTGCTGCTGGTCACAGCCTTTGCACAGGCCGCAGAGAGGGGGAGAGAGAGAGAAAGAGAGAGAGAGAGAGAGAAAGAGAGAGAGAGAGAGAGAGAGAGTTCGGGACGACTCGTGCCCTTGGCTTATGGACAATCTGTGTTGTTCAAGTTTCACTCCCTTTGTCAATTGCTGCCACGCAAGTGGCAACGACTCGCCCAAACGATTCGGCATGAGCTTCGGAGCCCCCTATTGCGGATGGACGAAATCCTGCACCACCTTAGAAACCATGGGATGATTCAGTTGCAAATACCAACAAACATTATGGTTTCTCAACATGTTTCAACTATGGTTTTTACTTGCTGCGAAATGGATTTTGTCCATCCACAGGGCTAGGAGCCCAGCCGTTTTTGGCAGGGCCTCATCACCACGCTGCTCTACGTGGCGCAGCAGCCGGCGGCCATCGTGCCGCTGCTGGCCAAGTCCCTGCCCTTGACCTCCCGGTTCTATGTGAACTACATCGTGCTGGGGCCCGGGGCCTCAGACAGACCGCAAACCTCATGCGGATTCGGGTTTCGGTTTTTTTCTCGCTGAAAGGGTGCCTAGATTGGACACAGCTCCAAAGTGAACCTCAACTGAAAGCAACAACGTGGGAGAACATGTAGAGTGGTGTTGGTCAGATGTAAACCGCAGTGGCGGAGCATGGAATTTGAAGTGGTCCTAGTCCAGCCAAACCTCAACTGGGAGGAAAGCTGGTTGTGTGTTGCCGCCCGAATTCCCCCGTTGCGTGTCACCATTTGTGGAATGTCGCCAAGGTGGGGCTCATGCAGCTGCGAACTGCTGCGCCCGGGGCCGCTGGCGCCTCGTTCCGCGGAAACAGATCAGGTTTGGGTCTGCCATGCGGATGGAAGTGGGTAAGTGGGCGTTGGATTTGAGCAATATTGTTCTTTGCCAAGGGAGCTGATTGACCAAGTACCCGGTCATGACTTTGAGTTTGTGCTTTCTTGACTGCAGGCTGGACTGTGCCTTGCCGTCCATGGTACCACGCCGCCGTTTTTGTTTGTCGCAGTAGTGCAACGTTGCTCCTGCCACCGGGTCTTTCTTCTGGAGTCCACGTCTACGTCTTTGAGCGTCCACTGTCAAACGACTCCCAGTTTGGGTCATTTGGGGGTCAGGTGCTGTACCTCAGCCTCCGCGAGTTCATGTCCGAAAAGGAGGCATGCCGCACCGCCGAGGAGGCACAAACGGGTTGGGCTGGCTCACTTGCAAGGGATGACAACCTGGGTGTGGTTAAAAGTGAAACAGCTGGGGCGAACCGCAGGTTTTAGTCTTTGTCCCATTTACCAAGCTGCCATGTTGGTCCATTTCTTCGACCCTCAGCCTCACCTCAGCCTCACCTCAGAGGTTCGTTTGGTCGGAGCCACCCAGCCTGGCACGTGGCCTCAGGACTCCGTGCTCATGGGCACGCGCGTGGCACGCTCCACCTTCATGCTGGTCATTGCGCTGGTGGCTGCCTCAAGGCTTGGGAGCGGTTTGGGAGGCGCTGCAATCCATGGCTGTTGCCAGCAAGGCCTCAACGCGCCAGACCTGCCCAATGTATGGCTTGTAAACAGCTCTGGTTTTGGGTGAGCTGAGTGGCCCTGTCAATTCATTTGGTGTCACGGAATGGCACCAGGAGCTGAACAGTTTGAAGAGCTAAGAGCCGGTGAAAGAGCTTCTTAGGCATATTGCCCCCAGGGAGAAGAGTTCAACTCTATTGTGTGTGGCTTCGTGAAACTGGCCCATCTGAGGTCTTTTGCAGCATCAGCCCGCTGATTCTGCTCGCCGCGATCGTGTACTTTTTGTTCGAGCGCCGCCTGAGCTGCACACCTGACAGTGGCCAACGTGCGAGCGGATTCGCCCTTGGTGTTTGTAAGGGAATGTACCGGTGTGACATGTTCAAAAGCTAAATCACTATGCTCATTATGGTCGTCATTATCAGCAAATGGCTGTTTGATGCAAATTTATAGAGTTGTGTGAGCGGCCGGTCTTGGCTAAAATCTCAAGACGGCCACTTCGTTGGGCAGTTAGTTCCGAATCCGAGCTCGGCCGAGGCCTGTCCCACGGGTACTTGCTGCTCTCTGCGGAGCCCCGGCAGGGCGACAGCGGGGGCGAGCTCTTCGTGCAATCCCTGAAGCAGGTGCCGGAAAAACTGCAAATGTGTGGCTGTGGGTCAAAACCAATGGGATCCCATTTTGGGGTAGGTGCCACCCATTTTTGAGCGTCCACTGGGTGTTGGGTGTTGTTGGTGCCTGAGGGTTTTGGTGTGCTGGGTGTTGTTGGTGCCTGAGCTGGTCGAGTTCCATTTTGGCCGCATCCATTTTCGAGAAAGCGTATGGGTTAGGAATGGCATGATTCTAGGGGTTGATTCTCCATTCTTTTCAACCATCGTTCTTTCCAAAAACCGGCTCTGGGTTTTTGATGGTTTCCTGAACAGAAGAACCCCTGGAAAGAATGGGGAAGGTACCCCTAGAATGATGCAGAGGATGTGCCAAGGTGCACATGGGGCTTCTCATCTACGTCCTGCTGATGATTGGCGTCTTAGGTGCTCGCGGCGTGGAGTTTGGCTTGGTGCTGGCTCCCAATTTGCTGCTTGGCTGTGGTGGGGGGACCCCGGCAAATCAACGGCCTGCGGGCTCCCTTTGCGCCTGATTCAAGTTCGTAATTTCACGACAAGCCTAGCTCCTCTATTTATTAATATCGTGGACTGAAGGGCGCTGTGTGTGTGAGTGTGTGTACGCAGGACGAAGCCCATGGGGAAAACCAGACGGCAACTCCCGCTAAGACGTGTCCCAACACCACGGATTGGGCGCATGCGTGTAGTATCGGAGACCTGCTGAAGGGCAAAGTGGAAAGCGCTGGTGGGCGATCCTATGCTCACCTTGCCAGCTGAGGTTTTTGGTGTCCTGGTCATTGCTCAGCTTGGACAGCTTTCTTTGGACATCCCTACCTTTGGATCAGGCGCGCTGTGAAACGTGGGTTGGGTGTTTTCAGCCTCTTCTCGTCTCGTGGCATGCAAGGGACGGGCCGCAGGTCATGGATTTGGACGACAACGATCCATGCGCGGACGGCTGCGAGCACTTGGCTGCCCGGCTCAGTGAACCATGCCCAATTGAGCCAAGTAGAACTCAAAATGCCAAGGATCCCCTGGTGACCTGTGAAACCTGGTGAATTTTCAAATTTTGGATCGTTGACTACTTGTTTCGGAGCTTGGGCGAGACTCCAACAGCTTTGGTTTCTCAAGCAACGGGCTCCGATCCGAGGTCTACCAGCAGCCGGAATGCCAAGAAGCACTGCAGACCCCGCAGATCCTGGTCTCCAGGCTTTGGCCCAAGCATCATCCAAGGCCCATTTTAGAGTAAGACATGCAAACTTGCCATACGCAGAAAACGGGCAGCCTTGCAACATCCCCATCTCAGACCATGCGCATAGAGCAGTCCACACCCGTCCCTTGCTCGCGCGTCGTGACCGGACCCCGAGGCCCTCCCAGGCGGAGGCAGCTCCGGCGCCCAAAGCCCCAGCCCGGGCACCAGCACCGGCGCCGGCGCCGGCGGCCGCCCCGGCGCCGGCGACGGCGCCTGCGGCCGCAGCGGCGCGGCCGAGCCGCTCGGAAGAGATCTCCGGTGCTCGGAGTGGTTTTCTTGTTCAGCGGTTGGATGTGGTTTTGGCCAGTGAGATGTGTGTTTTTGTGGGAGGAGTCTATGCAAACCGTGTCCATCAGTCTTGCCATGGCAAGCAAGAGCGAGCGCACCTCCGAGGATCAGGCTCGCGCGCCTCGCGCAAGGCTCCCGAGGAGACTGGGCCAGAGCGCCCTGCTCAAGAGGACTGGACCAACTTTCGCAATGGATCTGAGATTCGAACTTTGCTTGGCCGGTTCTTGGGTTCTTGGCGTCTAACCGGGCACCCACTCAGTTCGTTCGGTTTGGACAGAACCACTGCTGCTTGGAGATGGTCTACGCGGGCACCCACTTAGTCCAGTCCTTCGGTTCTTGGGCAGAACCCACTCAGAGCATGGCTGAGCAAGTCAAACATGCCAGGAGGTCGAGGACATCGAGTTCTGAGAGAGCGTATGTCGCAATAAAAGAAGATGCCTTGTGAGAGCAACAAGTCAGCAGCACCTTGGTCATCCGGGGAAATCTCCCCCTTATTGAGTTGTTTTTGAGCATTTCCTAGGCTTCTTTTGGGGGAACGCAACCATGCTGTTGCCGTTCGCTTTGCTGCTTCCGAGTGAGGAGGCCTTCCACATTCACAGCACAGGACAAATTTACTGCCTGTTGTGGTTCTGCGGGGCTCTTGTATCTTGATTGTTAGTGGAGAGGCCTGAAACCCTTTCACCCTCTTCCAAGCTTTTGGGCACAACATCTATGGCAGCCCCTTCGCATTCAAGAGGTAGAGAATTGAGGAAGCCTGACCTGCGCGACTGTGAGCCGGGCCATGGCGAGGGAGAAGCCATGGAGGAGGAAGACGTGGAGACTTGGCCTCTGACGCACAGGCAAAAACACGAAGGCTCTCACGGGTCGCGCGTTGTCCTCACTCACGTCAGCGGTCAATGTATCACAAGCTCCCATTGCCTTGCGAGGAGCATTCAAAGCATATGGAAAGGGTGTTGTTGATGTTTTTTTCGCTTCTGTGAAGCGAGTGAAGTGAGTACTCATATCTCTGACATGTGCAAATGATTCACGTGCATCCTTTGAGTCGAAGCCTTTCAAAGCCTTTTTACAAAGACTGAAGGCCCCAGCACGTCCAACGAATCCCCACAAAAACTGGAGGGCCCAAGCACGTCCCGCGGAATTTTTCGAGCTCATTTTGTGGTCTGCCGAGGACTGGTTCGAGGTGCTGCAGCCTTGCGCCATCCGCCGGGCGCCGCGCTGGGACGCGGCCGCCTGCGGCGAGCTGCGACCTGGCCAGCGCATCCAGGCGATGAAGCGACTGCAGGGACTGCAGGGACTGCATGGGGGGAAGGGAGGACGGGGGGAAGGAGCCCACATACTCCCCAAACAAGCCCTAAAGGCCTTAACAAGAGCTTACTTGGGCTGCCTCTCCCCCAGCCCCCATGATTCAAAGGATAAACTGAGAAACTGGGAGCTGAAAGCGAAACGTCGATTTGTAGATGATCGTTTGCACGCGGGAAATCAGGCATCAACAAAGAGTGCCATTGCCTTGGATAGCTCTGGAGAACATTTTGCCGATGAATGGGTTAAGTTCTAGAGGCTTCCCCTGACCGGCTCCATGTTTAGCGACAGTGACGACCCCGTGGGAGTCTTGGCGGCAGCTGTACTTCCCCCTCTCGAAACGAAGCGGTTGGTTGCCGTGGTTCAACAGAAGGCGCAGATCGGGTTTTCGGACGGCCCCGAGCTCTCAGAAAATGCAGCCAGTTTGAGGTCAATCCTTTTGTCATCCAAAGAGTGAACGATCGACACGATGTTGGAGACACCTGCAAGGCGCCTGACTCGGCTCACCGAGCTTTGGGCTCAGCTCAGACTGTTCGCTCGTCAGGTGTCGTCTGAGCGCAAGGGCCACTGGGCCAGGCGAGCGTTGCATCAAGTCAGTTGCTGGTGGACTGCGGAGATGGAACGCCCTTGTGAAAAGCAGCTTTCCTCAGCTCTCTCAACCAAATTTCATTCTTCAAGATGCACCGCCTTTGTAAAGTTGTTGCGAATTTCCGAAGAAGTGCAGAGGTATGCTGTTCTCAGAGGCAGCTTGCTTTCAGCAGGGTGAGGGCGTCGGGAATGCTAGAGATTTACTGGCGAGTCAAAAGTTCTGGGATTGAAGTTGGAGGTACTATTTGGAAATCGCTGAACGCCTCGCAAAATTGACTGCATCCAAGCACCTCACACGAGAAGTCGCGTTTGCAAAGATCCGCGCCGCAGCCCCGCTTAGACTCACTCTCGCCTCATGGCCTCGCGCGCTTGGCGCCTTTTGCGCCTCGCGTGCCTTGCGCACCTTGGGTGCCTCGTGCTGCGCCTGGCATATGGATTCGCCGCGCGGCCGCTCCTCCCGCGCGGCGCCCGCCGGGTGCGGCGCGCCTCGCTGGGCACGGCGGAGGCGCAAGACATCCACGCGGCGGTGCGGCGGAAGGCGCTGGAGGCCATTGCGACGGGGGACTTGGCGCCGGGCCAGGAGCCGAGGGCCAGGAGCCGTTTTTGGGATCCCATGTTTGGTTGGTAGGTGAATTCACCACCCATAGAACCTATTTTTGTGGGGAGTGGCATGTTCACTGGGTACGATTTGGCTTTCGACCCATAGCCATGTCACAGCTGCAAGCATTCCCGGAAGCCTGGCCATGTTTGATTGTTTTTGTGGGTCGGGAACACATTGCTTCCGTGGTAGAGAGAAGCAGGGCTTCCGTGGTTTCAGATGCGTTGCAGCGAGCCAGAGTTGACGCTCGAGGCAGTCATGTTTGCGTGAATTTGGGTGGGGATTGTTCGAAGGAATAATTTTGAGGAAATAATGCCAGCCTGTTGTTGACTATTTCCGAGCTTTGTGTGTGTGTGTGTGTGTCACCAGGACAGAGCTTCAACAGTTGATTGACACGGAAAAAAGGTACTTCGGTGTATCAGTTTGCTCGGTGCATTTGGAATGGCAATGCGCAGTGTTTAAGGCAGCGCAAACACATTCTCCCAGTCAAAGTGATTTTTTTTATGGAGCCCACAGCCGGGTGTGGTGGATCTAAAAGAGATGACAAAAGAGCAAGACAAGACGAGAGATAGCTAGGAGCTGGAGCTGATTTCGGCTTTGGATCTGGGCACAGTGCCCTGGGCGTTGCTCCCCGTGCGCTTCAAGGAGCGCTTGGGCCTACCGCTGGCAGACCGAGGCATCGACTCCTTGGCTTTGAACCTTTCCGTGGCCGTCCAGGCCGCGAATCGAGCGACGTCGGGTACCCGCCAGTCTGAAATTTCCCCATTTTCACCCTAAGAATTGAGTGTGGCAGAAAGGGACCTTTTGACCTGCCGTCCTTTGTTTGGAACCGGGTGCCCGTCAGAAAGCCGTCACTGACACGTGTGCTCCCATCCAGGCCAAAGATTACGCAGGCGGGGTGCCGTTGCATCGGCTCACCAACTTCCACTACCTGGTCAAGGCGGAAGGCTCGCCGCTGCGGGACCACGTGCGGCAGCTGGTGGTCGCCACCACGGACGCCACGGAGTTGCCCCAGCTGGCGGCCAGACTGGTCCAGTTTCCTTGCTTCCAGCTTTCTGAGTAAGCTGGCCGTAGGTCAAAACCAATGGGATCCCATTTTGGGGTAGGTGCACCACCCAGTTTGGTCCATTTTAGTGGGGATTGGGATGTTCACTGGGGGTACGGGATTTCGACCCATGGCCAGCTTGCTTTGTGTTCACTACCCCAGTTTGAAGGAAGGATTTTTGAAGCTTGGGGTTGGGGCAAGGTGGCATGGAGTAACATGACCCACCGGCGCTACACAGAGGAGGAGATGGAGTCCTGGCGGAACCTCGCCCGGAGGGAGGTGCTTCTGCAGCAGGCGCGGGCCAAGGCTAAGCCGCGATGGCAGCACCAGGTCGCTTGCCTGCGCAGCTGCCAGCAGTTTCTCAACGCTTCAGGAAGGGACTTCTTCGTGCAGATGGCCACAGGCACGGGCAAGAGTTTGGTGATGTCGGACTTACTTTTCGATGTTGTCTCCAAGGGTGGGCGCGCTTGTGTGGTGGTGCCAAAGCTGGACCTGATGCAGCAAATGGCGCAGCTGCTGGAGGAGACGCTGCCACATCACCACGTTTGCCGGGTGGGCACCGGGTGGCAGGCAGATTTCGCCGCGGAGGTCTTTGTGTGCGTGCGGAATTCGGCGTGGCAGTTGCAGAGCCTGACGTTGGATCTCTTGCTGCTGGACGAAGCACACCACTACGAGCCCTTGTCCAACGTGCCGAATATGCCGAATACGCCTGCTTTGGCTGATTTGGGAGTGCATGCGCGGCACGTCCTCTCGCTGCAGGCGCGAAAGAGGGTCTTCTTCACAGCGACACTGCTCTGGAACAAGCCCGATTTTGATTTCGGCTTGAGGCCGGCGATCGAGGCCGGGGTGATCACACACTACTCGGTGATGGTGCCGGTTCTTTCGGAGGGCGACTCCCGGCCACGCCTGGTGGAAGTCATCCAAGGCCTCCCGCTCGCCCGCAAGATCTTGGCCTTTTGCAACACGGTCGATGAAGCCAAGGCCTTCACTGCCCTCCTCAACGCCGCCGGCGTCGCTGCGGGCCACTACAATGGTCAGACTGCCACTGTGCGGCGCCGGGACTTGCTCCACAGCTTCGCCCGAAGCGGCGCCCTGCGCGTGCTGGTGACTGTGGACGTGCTCAGCGAGGGCGTGGATTTGCCAGTGGCGGACACCTGCCTTTTCGTGGCGCCCCGCCGCGGCGTGCGTCTCCGGCAGTGCGTGGGCCGCGTGCTCCGGCGGCACCCGGCCAAGGTCGACGCCGTGGTCATCGCGCCGCCCATCGTGCGCCAAGAGGACGGCAGGCTGATGGAGGAGGCAGAGCTGCGGCGGCTGCTGCTGGAGCTCACTGAGGTTGATGACCTCTTCAAGGCCTCGCTGAAGAGACCCAACCAGTGGAGGGCTCGGCTGGGTGTTTTGGCGGAAGAAGCGCCATGCGAGGACTTGGACGTGTCGAGCGCCGAGGAAGCGGCGCAGCTTTTGGATCTGTGCATATTGCCGAGCCTCATGAGCATGGGCAATGTCAGCCGAGCCTGGGCCGATGCCTATCGCGAGCTGGTGGCGTACAAGGCTTCTGCAGGGCATGTGCTTGTTCCTGGCAGCCATGTGACGTCGACAGGGTGCCGCCTCGGTCGATGGACTGCCAGACAACGGCGATGCAAAATCACCCGCCAGCTGAGCGATGTGCAAACTCGGCAGCTTGAGAATCTGGGCTTCGTGTGGGACGTGCGCAGTCACTTGTGGGAGCTCGCCTTTGAACAGCTGCAGGCCTATCATGCGCAGCACGGAAACGTAGTTGTGTCCCCACAGTTCAGGAGCAATGATGGCTTTGGTCTTGGATCCTGGGTTTGCCGCCAGCGGGAAGCCAAGTCCAAGGGCAAGCTGAGCAAGAGACAAATCCAGCGCCTTGACAAGCTTGGCTTTGTGTGGGATACGTGGGAGTACGCTTTTGGAACGCTGCAGGCCTATTATGCAGAGCACGGGAATATTTCGGCGCCCGGGCGTTTCACGAGTTTCAAGAACGCCGACGGCTTTGGTCTTGGGGCTTGGCTCGACCACCAGCGCAGAGCCAAATCCAGCGGCAAGCTCAGCAAGGAGCGTACCCGACGTCTCAACAAGCTTGGCTTTGCATGGGACGAGTTCAACCATCTTGGCGACTGGCAGAATGAGATCGATCTCAGCAACTGGGAGATCGCATTCGAAAAGCTGCAGCAATACCATTCACAGCAGGGCCCAGCCATCGTGTCTAAGAAGTACAAAACCCCCGATGGCTTTGCGCTGGGAAAGTGGGTGGCCGTGCAACGGCAAGCCAAATGGAACGGCAAGCTTCCTCAGGAGAAGGTACGGCGCCTCGACAAACTTGGCTTTGTTTGGTACAAACGGCCTGATTTCCACTCCACGATGGAACAACTGCAGGCCTACCATGCAGAGCACGGCCATCTAATGGTACCCAGCCGTTTTAAGAGCCCTACTGGCTTTGCTCTTGGATCATGGGTTCGTCAGCTGCAGAAAGCCAGATCCAAGGGGAAGCTGAGCAAGGAGCAGACTCACCGCCTCGACAAACTTGGCTTCGCATGGGAGCGTGGGACGAGCCCATGATTGGCCACCTGCCCAGAGAGCGCTGCTTGCAGAGCAATCAGTCAGCTGCTCCAGGGTGAATTGAATGGACGGGATGAAGTAAACTTCGTTTCCGACGCTTTTTTCTTCTCTCACCGCCTTTGTTTGAAAGAGGCAATCCCAGTCCTGTCCCCACTACTGCAAGGCTGCTGTTGTGTGCAGTACAGCCCCGGTTGATCCAAAGCCGCCGTGCAGTTAAAACAAGCGCGCGGCAAGGCTCTGCAACGCTCTCTGGCATTGCCCTGTGTGCAGACCTTAAGTCTCACTGGACATTCCCAGTTGCAGCTGCACAGAAGTGGCTTCGCAGGCTCACCATGCTGGAGATGTGGCTCTCCAGCACGGAGAAGAAGAAGCAGGGCTTCGTGCTGCTCCAAGAACCAGCAGGCCTGGGACTAAATGCCACCTGGGTCAGACTGGGGACCATTTGGGCACAGGCGTCGTTCGCGTGTTTAGAAGCCTATGTGGGTATGGGTCAAAATTGAACCACCAGGGGCCCATGTTTCCATAGGGCAACCCTTACCCGAGGTTGTTTTTTTTCCCCATGGGTCCACCTACCAGGGTTCCATTTGGAGGTTACCCGATGTTTGACCACCACAGCCATGTCAACAAAACCGCAGACCCGACCTCGGCACAGCTCGGCCTTCGGTCGGCACAGGGCAGATGCTCCGAGGGCCCCTGGCGGCCAATGAGCAGCCGGGCGGAGACTGGGAGCAGGCGTCCACTGGGTCACTTGCAGACACGCACTGGCACGGATATGGCTGTCGTTGTCAAAACCAGTGGGATTTTGGTTTGTAGGCACTTCTTTCTGGTCGGTTTTGAAGGAAACAAAAAGGAACCAAAAGCTCTAAACATAATCCTTACCTCAGTGACCTGAAATACAAGGCAATAACCAGTTGGGGCCATGACACAAATTGGGTACCAAAAACAGACAATGAATTCACCACCCATTTTAGAACCTATTTTAGTGGGGATTGGGATGTTCACTGGGGGTACGGGATCTTGACCCATGGCCATATGGGTCTGAATATTTGAATTGGGGAGCCTTTGGTGGACATCATTTAGGTGGGTCCCGATCCATGTCCACCAACCACTTTGGAGGAGGTTCCCTATTAAGATTCATAGGCATATCTTTTATGTTGCCCATACAACGAAATTTACTTTTGGAGGGGTAACGCCTCCAATGATTGAACGTAGGTGAGGATGTTCCGGTCTCGTTACGAATGAGGGGCAAGGCACAACCCAGGAACATGTGTTTGTTTATTTGATGATTGCTGGCCAGGTCATCATGCACCGGGCATTTTGGGCGGTGGCTCAAAAACCAGCTTTCACCGCCGTCCCCAGGCGGGCGACATTTTCCACGGGACTGAACTCGGCTCGTGCCAGATGGCTGCGCTGCTTCGCTGGTGGCCGCTGGCAGGGACACCCCCGCTGCAGCCCGCCGTGCCGCTTGGCAACTCGCGAGCTGCGTATCCCTTCAGACTCTCGTCGTCCCGCTTGGAAGGCCTGCTTTGAACGATTTAAGACCTGCCAGTGGCTGGAAAGCATTGAAGCATGTGTGCCCCAAGTATACCTGTCAGAACCAACCATTGGCAAACGCTGCAAAGACCGGGCCTTCCAGTTGGCAACCCAAAGGCAGAAGCAATGAGTGTGTGTGGGGCGCGGTGAGTTCTGTGGTGGGCAGGGATCAAACAAGACCAGGTTGGTGAGACTTTTGATCCTGAATGCTTGCCTTCATTGGAGAGGTGAGCCCAGGTGTATTTCTGGGTGTTTTCCTGAACATGGTGAGTGACGTCGACGGGGGGGTCCTTTCCCGGCTTCACCCCAGTTGCGCACAACGGTCGGCGCGACTGTGGCGCGAGGTTCGGCGGGGCTTGGCTTTGTCACTGGAAGTCCGCGGAGGTGGAGTCCATCCAGGTCGGACGCTTCGGTCGCCTCCACTTCGAGTCGAAGAAGCTGAAGATCGAAGGCAACTCCAAGTTCAAATGCATGAGACCTGCGCAACGAACCAACAGGCGTCTTCCTCCATTTTTGTTTTTCCCTGCTCTTTCCTAGCCTTTGCTTTGTTGGCTCTCGAAGATCATTCATCTTTGGCACATGTTCACCGTTTTGGTGGTTAAAGCTTTCATAATTTTCCATGAAGCGCAATTCAGTGCTGGCATGTCGGGGTAGCTTAGTACACCGAGAAGTTTCCCAGGACGCTTTGGAGCAATGTCCCCTTACGCACAAAAGCCGCCGTGAAGCCTCCCACAAGCCATTTCCCCCGCAGTGGGCCAGGCCACATGGCTGCTGCAGGGGGAGGAGCTGGAGCTGGCCGGAGCCCCAAAGCCGAAGCTGGACGCCGGACGCCGTGGCCGGCCTTTGGTCCCCGGTTTGGGGCGCGAGATGCATATGGAGCCGGGGCAAGACACAGAGACCCTTTTTTGGGTCACTGCCCACTTGGTTGGTCCATGTAGGAAAGGAATCTGGGCAATGAAGGGCTGCCAAGATTTTGACGCCATATGGAGCCGTGCGGCACGGAGACGTGGCATTCTCAAGCCAGAGACTCATTTTGTTCCTGTGAAACGCCCAGGGTCTCGGGGTCATCCGAAACGACGCCTTTCCAATGATTCTGCACTATTGGTCAGACCCTGACGCAGAAAAAGGCACCACCTGTTCACGCAATCACTCACTCACTCACTCACTCACTCACTCACTCACTCACTCACTCACTCACTCACTCACTCACTCACTCACTCACTCACTCACTCACTCACTCACTCACTCACTCACTCACTCACTCACTCACTCACTCACTCACTCACTCACTCACTCACTCACGGGTAAAGTCAGAATTCGGCAGACGAGAATTTCCGGATACGCTTTTCAGCTCGGAGGTCGGCCCGGAAGGCACCAAGGCAGGTCGTTCGGACGCGGACAGCAGCCCTTGGAGTCAGATCCACCCAGCTTAATTATTTTCGTTGAGGGCACCAGTTCCATGACCAAAGGGAAGCATCCGCTGCGGAGAAAAGCAAGAAAGAGTTTTGTTTGCTGGATGTTCGTTGAGGGAACCATATTTTTTTTTGTGCCAAGGGAGGTAAACGCGTTGTGCTCTCGCATTTGGGTGCAGACAAATTTGCCAGGCCGGCGATATCTGCCGCTGGCTTGCTGCGGACATCGGCCTCGGCACGGAGCACGACGCCGCGCGGCGGAAACGCGGAGAGTTCGATCCGCGCGAGGGTTCGTTGCGTTAGCGGCAGGGGCGGGCAGGGTGTTCGTTGCGAATGACCCATCCGGGTCAAGTCCAAGTTTATAGGAAGGCTCCTAACAAGGCTCCAGAAAAGCAAAGACGAGTATCAAGGGCTCAAGGAGCCTCGAGGCCCTCCGGGAACATGTTGTGGGCAACCGGCTGCAAGGTCGTGCTGGTGCAGGACTGCCCGAGCGCCGAACTGCCTCTTTGCGGGCCGGCCCCCAGTTTGGTATGTGTGTTTTCCTCACCTGCCAACGAGCCGATATCGCTATTGCGTAGGTGAAACCCATCAAATCCATCAAATCCATCATATGAGCCACAATCAAAACCCGGGTAGATGAAGGGTAGTAAGGGCCAATCTCAACCATAGATAGCTGCGGCCGCCTTCTTATTTCTTTGCATGGTTGTAGATCATTTTAGTACCAGGTTTTGATTCTGACTCATATCCACAAATCTATGACCCACTCCACAAATCCATCAACTCTCAATGAATTTGTCACCAACCCGAGTGTCTCCAACCGCCTCGCGAAGCTTCCGTCTCGGAGGCGCCGAGTCGCCGATCGCCTGACAGGACCTGCCAGGCTTAGATGCGTGCGGCGCCTTGCTGGAGCACACCGACATGAAGACGGCCGGTTGCGCAACCGGAGATTTGGAAAAAACCTGTCCACTTGATGTGAATTGCATGTCGTATGCATGTGTGGGTTGTGTGACCCTAAACCCTCAAACTTCCCAAGGCCAAGAGCCATTGTGCTCATGTTGTTTGCTACATTGTGTCTTGTGTTAAGTGAGAGGCATCTCGGATTGTGAGCTTTCAAGCAGCGCCACCTGAGTAAGCTCTGACCACGAGGCAAGAAGAAGAGTCTCTGGTCGAGGTCACACATTTTTTGCACTCCACTTCCTAAACTGGCTAAATAGGGCAAGGCCTTCTTCTCAACCATGCAAAGGGTCGACATGTGCAATGAAAACCGTAAGGGAAGCACACCTCGTCTTATTCTCATAGCCCAGAGTTTTGGACGACCCTAAACTGGGCCGTAGCCATTCCATCCATCCAGGGTTGTGGGATCAAGGGGTTCATCTTCCCCACTTCTGTGCAAGTAACTCTCGCCCTATGGGGCGAGTCTTTGGGGTTCGGTGGTTGTATCACAGGGGGCATTTCCAGCACTGAGCCTCCATCCACGTTGCGCCGCTTCAGCTCGGGAAGTCACCAGGTGGGGCCCCGCCAATTCTGCGCCTTGGCCCGGGCCCGGCCCCGGCTGCATGTGGCGCTGGAAACCTCCGTGGCTCAAAAGGCCCAGGAGAGCGGCTGGGCGCTGAGGCGGGATGTGTACCTATGTCTGTGTATAGATATGTACATATTATATATATATATATATATGTATGTAATGTAATGTAATGTAATGTAATGTAACGTAACGTAACGTAACGTAACGTAATGTAATGAATGTATGTATGTAATGTATGTAATGTATGTAATGTATGTAATGTATGTAATGTATGTAATGTATGTAATGTATGTAATGTATGTAATGTATGTAATGTATGTAATGTATGTAATGTATGTAATGTATGTAGTGTATGTAATGTATGTAATGTATGTAATGTATGTATGTATGTATGTATGTATGTATGGCAATGTATGGCAAATGTATGTATGTATGTATGTATGTATGTATGTATGTATGTATGTGTGTGTGTGTCTGTATGTATGTATGTATGTATGTATGTATGTATGTATGTATGTATGTAATGTATGTATGTATGTATGTATGTATGTATGTATGTATGTATGTATGTAATGTAATGTAATGTAATGTAATGTAATGTAATGTATGTAATGTATGTATGTAATGTATGTAATGTAATGTAATGTATGTATGTATGTATGTATGTATGTATGTATGTATGTATGTATGTATGTATGTATGTATGTATGTATGTATGTATGTATGTATGTATGTATGTATGTATGTATGTATGTATGTATGTATGTATGTATGTATGTATGTATGTATGTATGTATGTATGTATGTATGTATGTATGTATGTATGTATGTATGTATGTATGTATGTATGTATGTATGTATGTATGTATGTATGTATGTATGTATGTATGTATGTATGTATGTATGTATGTATGTATGTATGTATGTATGTATGTATGTATGTATGTATGTATGTATGTATGTATGTATGTATGTATGTATGTATGTATGTATGTATGTATGTATATGTATGTATGTATGTATGTATGTATGTATGTATGTATGTATGTATGTATGTATGTATGTATGTATGTATGTATGTATGTATGTATGTATGTATGTATGTATGTATGTATGTATGTATGTATGTATGTATGTATGTATGTATGTATGTATGTATGTATGTATGTATGTATGTATGTATGTATGTATGTATGTATGTATGTATGTATGTATGTATGTATGTATGTATGTATGTATGTATGTATGTATGTATGTATGTATGTATGTATGTATGTATGTATGTATGTATGTATGTATGTATGTATGTAATGTATGTAATGTATGTATGTATGTATGTATGTATGTATGTATGTATGTATGTATGTATGTATGTATGTATGTATGTATGTATGTATGTATGTATGTATGTATGTATGTATGTATGTAATGTATGTAATGTATGTATGTATGTATGTATGTATGTATGTATGTATGTATGTATGTATGTATGTAATGTATGTATGTATGTATGTATGTATGTATGTATGTATGTATGTATGTATGTATGTAATGTATGTAATGTATGTATGTAATGTAATGTGTATGTATGTATATGTATGTATGTATGTATGTATGTATGTATGTGTATGTATGTAATGTATGTATGTATGTATGTATGTATGTATGTATGTATGTATGTATGTATGTATGTATGTATGTATGTGTATGTATGTGTATGTATGTATGTGTATGTATGTATGTATGTATGTAATGGTATGTAATGGTATGTAATATGTAATGGTATGTAATGGTATGTAATGGTATGTAATGGTATGTAATGGTATGTAATGGTATGTAATGGTATGTAATGGTATGTAATGGTATGTAATGGTATGTAATGGTATGTAATGGTATGTAATGGTATGTAATGGTATGTAATGGTATGTAATGTAATGTAATGTAATGTAATGTAATGTAATGTATGTATGTATGTATGTATGTATATAAATGTGTATATGTATTTATACTTGAGAGCCTCCGGCTCAGTCCGCCGACATTGTCGTCTGCCTTTTCTCCTGCTTCCTCTCTCTCTCTCTTTTCTCCTCCCCCGTGTGTTCCCTCGTCCTCTCTCGCTCTCTCTCTGTCTCTCTGCTCCCCATCCTCCCCATCCTTCCAATCCTCTCTCTCTCTCTCTCCTTCTCTCTCTCTCTCTCTCTCTCCCTCTCTCTTTCTCTCTGCTTCTTTGCCTCTTTCTATCTCACTCTCTCCTGCCTCGCTATGCCTTTCTCTCTGTCTCTCTCTCTCTGTCGCTCTCTCCTGCCTCTCTATGCCTGTCTCTCTCTCTCTCTCTCTCTCCCTCCTCTCTATGTCTCTATCTTTCTCTACCGCCTCACCATGCCTCATTCTCCCCACCTCGTGTCTCTTTCCTCTCTGTCTCTCTTTCTGTCTCTCTTTCTGTTTCTCTCTCCGCTTGGTTTTTTCTGTCTCCTGCTCTGTCTCTTTCTCGATCTCGGTCCTTTTCTCTCACTCTTTCTCTGTCTCTGTCTCTGTCTCTCTCTCTCTCTCTCTCTCTCTCTGTTTGCATTGCAGCGTCATGCCCCCCCCTGAGTTGCCGCAAGTTCCGTGCACTGCCCCTTCATGACCCCTGAATTGTCTTCGTACTACTGGCTTTCCCTTTGATTTCCCCGTCATGTCCTTTTCATGTCTCGGCATTTGTTTGAGGATGTTCTTTCTCGTCATGTCCCCTTCCATTCCTCTCAAGTCCCCCTTCATGTCCGTGTCGTTTTCTCGGTGTGTGCGCTTCATTGTCCACGTATGTCCTTTCTTTCATTGCCAGTCATTTCCCTTTTCCTTGTCCTTTGTTTGCCTTGCAGTGTCCCCCTGCATGTCCTTGCATTTCCCTTTATCCTCATTTCCCTGCGCTTCCTTGCATTTTCCCTATGTTTACGAGAATAAGCTCAGGTGATATCCCCAACAGCATGTCGTGCTCGCACCACCCCGCAGCCCTCGCAGATCCTCGTGGAACCCTCGTGGAACCTTGGTGGAACCCTGGTGGAACCTTGGTGGAACCTTACCTCAGGGCCGCCCCGGACCACCCCGGAGCCTATCTGGGCTGAGACCCCAAAGCTTTCAGCTGTTGGGGAAAAAGCACGGTTTTTCCCACGTGTTCGCAAAAAGGATGTCCAAAACACAGAGTTGTCCAGATTTTCGGCAAAAGGAGGCAGAAAACCCGAACCAGCAAAGAGCCGGCAGGGGGATTCGAGCCTGGGACCTGTCTTGCGACACCGGCTCCCCAAAGACTATTCTTAGTAGAACGTCATCAGATTGCCGCGCGGTACGTGGGGGGGGGGGGGGGGGTTATCCCCTATCCTCTCTTAGGTGTCCGACACGCCGAACAATGTCGGCGGATATCTATCTATATATCGCATCTGTCGCATAGTTATGTTTATATTGTGTGCAGACCCATAGGCGTATATAGGTAAAAGTCAGTGTACGCATAATATATATATATATATATATATATATATATATATATATATATTTATGTATAATGCACACAAATGCACGTGTATATATATATATATACACGGGCAAAAACAAGATTCTAAGTCAATCAAGCATCAAAAGCACGTGTTGCGCACACGTGTCTCCAATGGTTTTTTCCTCTCCAAAGCATCGAAGCCAAGATTTCCCGACCTGAGCAACATCCACAGGAAGAACAACACACAAGGCCAAGGACACCCCGACAAGACCGTTGAAGCGAGGCCGAAGAAACTTGGTATTCCAAATGGTCTACCCAGAGCCAAGACTGGCCGTGCGGCGTGCCCAGTGCCCGGTTGCTTGGAACCTTCAAGGCCAGTCCTGCTTGGATCTGTCGCCCATGTTCTTCAGGGCCTTCTGCGCTGTGGATCGGCCCATGCCCTCGGTCTTCAACGGCCAGGCTCGGAGGGGGGTCGAAGGTAGACTGGCAGCCTTCAGCCTCGCGCAATGCGTTCTCAGGGCTTTCATGGGTCAAAGTTGGAAACTGAACTCATGAGGTTAAACCTGGGTGACTGTGTCTTTCGAGCCGGGCCCTGTGCAGATCCCTGAGCGGGTTCTGGCGCCTTTCGAGGCGGGCCGTGGAACGGAAGCGACGGCTTACTCCAGGCCCAAAGTTCCTGGCCATGATAGGCCCCCTGGGCATGGCATGCCATGTCCATTCTGTCCATTGTCGCGGCACCGCTCGACAGGCGCTGAGCCAGCTGCTGGAACACAGCGGCGCTTGCGCCGTCGCACTTCTGCCAGCAGACCTGCCTTTGAAGGAGGCTAGGCTTGGAGGCCCAGTTTGGGCGATGTCTTCAACGGCAAATTTGGGTTTGCATGCACACGGGCTCACCAAACAGGGCTCTTTGTGTACCCCTTGGCGACGTCTCGCGAATTCTTTCGGAGGCCAATGGCCTGACCATGGTCCCAAGGCAAACTCGTCGACGCGTGTCGCCTCCAGGCGGCTGCAGAAGCCTTGGCGCTGACGCCGTGTGCCAGGAGACCGGAGATCCGGAGAGATGGCAGTAGCGCTTCTTTGCTTGGAGCGTTTGCAGCATGAAAAACACGTGAAATGCGAAGACAAGGTGCGGAGTTCTCGGAATGCTGGTTGCTCTCACTTTGCGGCACTTGTGTGACTACTTACAGCTGGTTCTGTTGCACTTTGAGAGGCATTGAAGAGAGAAAGGCACAGCAGGTCAAGAATCGCTTCCAATGCCATTGTGCTTCCAGTCTGTGCTGTTTGATGAACACAGTTGCACAGCTCTGAAAATAATAAGCATCGAACGCCCGGTTCACAGCAGCTTGGCATTCGGCCCTCTGCCCTGGGCACATCGGAAGGAGCCGCTGCCGTTTGAGCAGCCCCTCGCTGAAGGCAGAGCCGAGAGGGTCGATATGGCTGTGCTCGTTGCCAGTCTAATGGGGTTGACATGTTTAAGACACGTGCAGAATGAGGCGACGAGAGCTTCAGTTGTGAAAATCTAGTTCATGCTTGATGTCAGGCCCTACCCCTGAGCTCTTAATGTGTTTTTTGCTCCATGGAGCATCCGTCCAGAAACCATCGATCGTCTTGTCACATGACTCAGGATGACGCCCTCAGCACGGCGTTGGCTTCGCTGCAATCCTTTGGGCACCTTGGAGGCCTTGGCTACCACCCCCGAACTCATGGGACATAGGTTGACCTAGGGCAACCTTGACATATCAAATGGCTGTGGGTCAAACCCGCGGCACCCGCCGGTACCCGCCGGTACCCCCCTTCCCCCAAGATTCCCTTTCAATATGAACCAAACAAAAGTTCGAGTTACCCAAAAACGGGTATCTGGGCTTTGACCCACACCCAAATGGCACTTGGGATCCATATCTCGGAAGGAGTCGCCGGCTCCAAGGTTGCACCTTCCCAAAACCCGGTCCGAGGGCGGTCCAGCGGTTCGAGATCATGGGCCTGCGCAGTCCCCTGCTGTGCCCCAAAGCGGACCGCGTTTTCAGGGGATCAATATGGGAGTCTTGTGAACACCCAGAGGCCAACCTGGGCTGATTGATTGCGTCCTATCAGCGAGGGAGACGTGGAGCTCGGAAACTTGTCGTGACAGCAGATTGAAGCAACAGCAGACTCACAAGTGAGCCATGCCCTTGCCAGTGTTCTTAGTCAAGATGACAGACTCAAAACAGCCTCCGAAGGACACCTACATGTTCTGTGTCGACGTGTTTCAGGGCACCAAAATGATTTGACCGGACCCTGCAAAGTGGAGCAGTTCTACATTCCCAGCGAGAACATTCTTGGAATGCCAGGTACTTGGCCCAGGATGAGATGGGCCCGGTGCTGGGCATCCTCACCACCAAGGACGAAGGCGGAAGAGCTTCGGCCGGCCCAGTCATAGGTGTTCGAGTGTGGAATGCCTTTGGAACACGGCGCTTTGAAACCGTTGGACCTTGCCACGTTTTGAGCACATGGCATGGTTTCGAGGGCTCAAGCGCTCCGCCTATTTGGCAGAGCGCGTGCAAAGGAGGCGATGAGCCGCCGCCGCTGGCGGCAGGGCTGAAGGTCTCGCTGCAAGGCGCCGCGGGGCGCAGGAGTTGTCGGGCCATGTCATGTGAAACATGTCCGGGATTTGAGAGCTCATACATGTGGGGAACCAAGGAGTGGCATGCGTTGAACTCATTTAGAGCTACATGTACTACAAGCACAGGCAGGCAGAGGGTGTTTTCCCTATGGTGCCAAGTGACTGGTGCTTTGAATGGTGGCAGACGCCAGGCCTTTCTGGCTGCACCACGGTCATCTCAGCAGGGCGTCAGTGGACAGCGCCCTGGCAGATGCTCCATGTTGACCGTCGAAGCGTGTCCAAAGAGATACGCGGTGGGTGCATGCCAGTACAATGGTGTCGGGGTTGACGAGACACTCCTCAAGGTGAGTTTAGGCGAGAGCTGAGAGGTTGCACTTCGTGATAGAAGAAAAATCGTAATTGGTGCAACAAGCTCCTTCTTTGGGACGTTCATTTTGGCCAAAAGCTGCCGTGCAAGCACTCTGTGCAAGTCGGTCACATCTCAGGTTGGGGAGCTGAAGGATGCTGCTGCGTTGCCCAGGCACCAAAGTAGGCTGGGAGCCCTCGGCAGATGCCGCGATGGATTCTGTGCAAACCATCGTTCTGAAGTCAAGGTATAGGAAGTCCAAGGCCTTGACAACTAAGCAACAAAAGCAACAAAAGCTACAACATCAACAACTGAGCAGGAAAGTGTACAAAAGCTTGCTGGGCTGCGGGTGCTAGCCAGATGTTTTCTTTGCGCTGAGGCGTCAATGGGTTCTTCTTTCAGCCCAGAAGCTGAAAGTGTCTCTGCCTGCCCGATGCTCTCAAATTGGCAGGCGCCATATACGTATCAGTATGCCCAGGTCACACAATGTCAGCGCCATTTGCTCATCCCACCTTTTTTTCTTAGCTCCCCTCTTCCACAGGTGTGAAAGTCTGCCACGGATCTGCCAGGTTGCTGCAGGGCAGCGCGAGCCTGCGGGACGAGCAGATGCTCGGGGACTTGCTGCCAGAGGCGGGGAAGCCGAATGAGCGCAGAGATTGGCACCCGTCCCTCGATTCCGATTTTTGCAGGTAGACATCTGTACATCCAGGAAAGGTTTGTATTCCGTTCGGGCTCCTTTCCGGGGATTAGCCAGAGGGAGATCCACGGCAGCTATTCTAGGCATCCTGAGATTTAGGGTTTGTGTCCTGTTTCAGGCGCACAAACTCGTAGGATCACTCGTGCGTGGTAGTGGTTGCCCCAAATGTCAGTCAATATGTTTATATGCATAGATGGATTTCTGAGCCCTTCTCCAATGGCCGTGGAAACGATATTTTGGGCCGGGCTCTTGAGCCTTGAGCCCTTCGGATTTGGAAAGAATGTTGTCTAGGGAAGAGGGCAATCACAAAGCCGGGAAGCATTCCTGCCAGATGTTGCGTGAATCGGTGGGTCTTCCAAGATTTTAGAGAGCTATGGAGGGCCATAGTTTGCTTCCGTCTATGCCATTCTTGATAAATCCCGGAGTGACCTGCAGAGCCCCATGTCTTTGCTTGGTCTCCTGAAAGTAGGCGGAATTCCCCGGTGCAAAGGCGCAAACGCCAGGCGCAGGAGGAGCTGCTGCTGCGGCTGTTGCGGCTGGATCCTCGCTGGGCAGAGGCCATGGAAGAGGCGAGGGCCGCATTCTCCGAACTCCTCCCGCTGGAACGAGAACTCCAAAGCCAAATGAGCGGTCCAGTGTCGAGTGTGCCCGAAGTCGAGAGTTCCACTCTCGCCCCAGAAGTCCTCAAGATTGATTCGGGCAGAAGGTTAAGGGAGGATTGCAAACGTGGGTGCAGCCTTGCTCATTTCTTACATTCTGGGTCGACCATAGTAGGTTTGGGAACGTTGTTGCAAGCCATATCATTGCAAGGCCCACCTTGGTACGCATTGAACATGCGTCGACCGCAGCCAAGTGAAGAACTTCCTCGCTGGATGGGCTTCACGGGTACTAGGCCATCCTATGAAAACATGCCACAATTCAAACCGCCTTTTCTGCTCTCGTTGGTTCCCATTTCAAGGGGGTCCACGGGCTAAAGCGGTCGACCGTTTCGGTGAGGTGAAGGCGAACGCCCTGGCCTGGCAGTCACTGCCGCAGGCTGGGCGAATCTGGGCGACTGCGGAAAGCCGGGCGCACGACGCAGAAGCAAGTTGTCACAGGGTTGTGGGTCAAAACCAATGGTACCATTTTGGGGCAAGTGAATTCACCACCCATTGTAGTCTATGTTAGTGGGGATTGGGATGTTCACTGGGGGTACGGGATTTTGACCTGAGTTTAAGAGCGCTACTTTGGAAGGATGGTTCATACCCATCAAAAAGGTGACAGCCAGGGCTGCAGACTGCGTCTCAAGCACGGCAGGCCATTCTGCGTAGTTGGGTGGTTGCTTCTCTGACACGGTCGCAAAGGGAAACAGGCGTTTGATCCTAGGCAACTTGATTGAAGGAGCTTTGAGATTGCAGGCGTTGGTCGATGTTTGCATCCTTGAGTGTACCGCTTACTGCGGATTATCTTGGAGGCAAAGTCTCCATGGGTGTGTTGATTGCTATATCTCAGCAGGTCAATTCGACATGGTCATCAGCCCAGCAAACATGCAAAGCTACCCTTACGATGTTTGAACCTGTGGCACGATTTGGCAAGGGGTCCAATTCCCGCGTTGGGCATTCCAAGTAGAAAAATCCAAATCCAACTGGACCATTCCATCCAAGTGGAGCAGGCATTCGAAGTAGAAAATACTCAATACTCAATGGCGTTGGGTGGATTGAGTATTGACTTGGGCGGCATGCCAGGACCTCAAGGATGACCGTGACCTCACTCTGGCGGCAGTGACCCAGGATACACGCTACCAGTGTTCTAAAGTAGGACTGCGCTTCGGAGCGGGCTAGTCCCCTGGGGCTTCCCCTAAGAATTCGTGGCTTTTTTCATGTTCCGTTCGAACACCCAAAGGGCTCCTGCTAGCAAATCCAAGTCTTGGCCGCGAACGGCCCGAATCTTCGGCCAAGAAGATTCCATGTCTCACGTGCCAACAGATGTTGCGACGTCCGCAAGACCAAATATGCATGATCATTGCCAGTGACTGACCCCGTTCGATTCTCAAGTCGGCAAGCATCTTTTTGCATTCCATTCGCAGGACGGTGTGTGTGTGTTACCAAATATGAGACCATCCAAGTCATGGTGACAGAATCAGTTAAAAGGGGTTTCCGGTTCTGCGACATGCAACACTCCACGCGGAGGAGCCTCATTTGCTGGGGCAGAGCGCCTTTCTGGCGGATGCTGAGCTGGTGCTTGCAGCCGCCAACAAGGAGAAAGACGTGGGTTCTGATTGAGATATTTCGCATGCTGACAGAGCTTCCCTGCTTCTTCCGCATGTTGGAGTGCCAGAGTTCCGTTCTACGTCTGCAAAGCTTGCCAGCTTTGCACTTTGCGGATGAAACCCATGGCAAAAAATGCCCAAGTTCGGGGGGGGAGGGGGGGGGGGGTTCGGGGGAGGGCTTGGGCGATCGCTTGAGCGCTTCGAGGACTCCGCGGTGCTACAGCTGGCCTCCCCAGAGCTCTGGGAGGAGAGCTTCAGCCTGCGCGCCGTGGATGCTCGGCGAGTCGCCCTCGACCCATGGAGAAGTGGACATGGGAAAACGTATTCGGAGCTCGGGGAGTTTGAGGATGCATCCCTCTTAGGTCGAAAGTTGGTGTGAGCATTTTGAGGAAGGTGGATGATGTGTGGGGTCGATGTATCCTCAGGTTCGCAACCGTGACTTCCCTCCGTGCATGACCGCTTCAAGACACTGCAGACTTGCTGCAAGTGAATGCTTGGTTCCCTCGAATCGGACCAGCAGTAGTCAAACCGTTGGGCGCACTAGTTTCCCATGAAGTGATGGCCTATTGAAATAAAAAGCTTAGACACGCGGACCATTTTCCCCCAAGCCCCTTGAACAACTGGATGTTTGACTTGTTGTCCACAGCCTGACTGTTCTTGGCCATCCTGCGTTTGCAGCCTCCCCGTTGCTGTGTGTGTGTGTGTGCACATGCTGCATGAACTCACGCCTGAAAATGGCAGGTTCACCTAGCCCCAAAAATAGCAACATCGTCTGGTTTCGGGAAATGGATTTTGGGCTCCATGTGACATGGGTGTGGGTCAAAATAAGCTCGGGCGATATCCCCAACAGCACCACACCCTCCCAGAATCCTGGACCATCCTTACCGCCGGTGTTGCTGAGGATGCCGCCTTGTAAAGCAAAGCTACGAGTGACAGCGCAAGCTCGCCTTGATCGGGGCCCGACGGCGCAATCGGGGCCCGATCGGGGCCCGACGGTGCAATCGGGGCCCGATCGGGGCCCGACGGTGCAATCGGGGCTTGATCGGGGCCCGACGGTGCAATCGGGCGCCGATCGTCCCGTGGTGCAACCCCAGCCACCCATATTATAGCTCAACGCCGGTTTTCCTTGGCATGCGGATTGCAACTGTATCTATAGCAAAACTAGGCGATGCCAGCTGGGCCCGACTGAGTCGGGCCCCGATCAGGGCCCGACGGCGCAATCGGGGCCCGATCGGGGCCCGACGGTGCAATCGGGGCCCGACGGAGCAATCGGGGCTTGATCGGGGCCCGACGGTGCAATCGGGCCCCGATCGTCCCGTGGTGCAACCCCAGCCACCCATATTATAGCTCAACGCCGGTTTTCCTTGGTATGCGGATTGCAACTGTATCTATAGCAAAATTAGGCGATGCCAGCTTGGTACGGGCACGATGGCGCAATCGGGGCCGATCGGGCCCAAGCGATGCAATCGGGCGGGCCCCGACAGTGCAATCGGGCCCCGACCTAGGCCCGGTGAACCTTTCGTGGAGCTCAGCGTGAAACTTTGCTGGAACCTTTCCTCAGGGCTGCCCCGTAGCTTTTGCAGAATTTGGTGGAAACCTTCTGACCTCATAGCCCTCGCAACCTTGTGGAATTCTTGGAACCCAAAGCCCACCAAGCAGCAATGCCAAGCATTTACTCTGCTGCCGTGAGTTCCGCAGCGACGTGATCTGATTTGCCACAAAGCCAACATTTGCCTGAGCAAGTGAGCAAGTCACAAAACAGTGAAAGTGTGCTAAAAACCATTGATTTCGGTTTTGCTTAGTGTTCCGCCCATGAGCAAAGCGATCTTGATCCGATGGCTTTTCAGATTACGGGCGCACGACACACCCTTGGTGCAGCATTGGAGCCTTGTGGAAAACCCTCATACAACCTTACCTCAAACCACCGCTGCAGGGTGGTCCGAGGTGGTTTGCACGAGGGTTCCACCAGTTTCCACCAGGGTTCCACCAGCCCGTCGTGCTCCGGACGCGCGTTCCACCAGGGTTCCACCAATTTCTTCGAGGGTGCGGCGTGGTTCGGGGAAGGTTCCACGAGGGTTCCACCAGGGTTTCAGCAGGGTTCCACCAGCGGTCCGGGCTGGTTTGAGGTAATGTTCCATGAGAATTCCACCCGAATTCCACCAGGTTTTGCAAGGTAAGGTTCCATTCCAGCACGGTTCTAGCAGGGTCCCACGAGGTTCTGCAAGGGCTGCGGGGTGGTCCGGCCTCGCAGAACCCGGTGAAACCCTGGCAGAATTCTGGTGGAAATCTGGTGCTCGAAGAAATTGCTGGAACCGTGGAACCCTCGTGGAACCTTACCTCAAACCACCCCGGACCACCCTGCAGCCCTGGTGGAACCCTCGTGGAACCTTACCCAAACCACCCCGGACCACCCTGCAGCCCTGGTGGAACCCTCGTGGAACCTTACCCAAACCACCCAGACCACCCCGCAGCCTGGAACCCTAGGTGGAACCCTGGCGGAACCCTCGTGAAACCTTCCTCAAACCCGCAAATTGGTGGAACCCTGGTGCAACCCTTGTGGAACCTTACCTCAAACCACCCCAGGTGGAACCCTGGCGGAACCCTGCTGGAACCCTAGTGGAACCCTGGTGGAACCATGGTGGAACCCTGGTGGAACCCTGGTGGAACCCCTGGTGGAACCCCTGGTGGAACCTTGGTGGAACCTTAGCTCAGGGTCGCCCCGAACCACCCCGGAGCCTATCTGGGCTGAGACCCCAAAGCTTTCAGCTGTTGAGGAATGAAACCACCACCAAACCACAGGTGTTAGTCTTGGTTTCCATTTGCCAACATTTCCCATGTTGGGTACCCATCTTTCACCCACGCCACGTGGATTTTGGGGCGATCGGGGCTCGGGTTTGAGGCCTGCAGCGCCCGGGCGGCGCTGCCCTTCGCCCAGCTCTCGCGGCAGGTGGCGCAAGCGGCGGTGCGCCAGGCGCGGAGGGGCGGGGCGAGGGCCAAAAGCTGAGGGCTGAGGAGCGAGGGCGTTTCTTTGACGGAAGCCTCTGGGTGAGTCATACCCAACCTGAGTCATAAGCATAGAGATGGCCGATCTCTTTGATCGAAGTAGCAAAATATTGCGTGGGTGCCCGCGCGGGATTGAGGCTGCATCCGTTTGAATTGGGCGGTTGAAGTTTGTGTGCGGGCAAAATGGTTCGGCCGAGCGCGACGTACTAGGGCAGATGCGTGATGTTGAAGGCATGGTGCCGCATACTTCTTGAGCCAGCCGTGTGAGGTTGGAGGGATGAAGGGCTTGAACTGTTACCCATTCAGATGGCGCTCGCGGATGGAAAGAATGCAGGTTCCCGCTGGAGCCGGGGTCAGGAATGCCTGCCTCAACTCTTCCGATCTCAGTATGTGTGGCAAGGTATAGTGCATGACTTTCCACAGTCCTGCCATGTGACATCTCAATGGTTTGTGGCAACAGAACCCAAATTCTGCCCCCCCCCCCCTCGCCCGTTCGCAGGACCCGCTGTCGCTGGGGCTGCTGCCGCCGCCGCTGCAGGAGGAAGTCTTGGAGGCGGCGCTGGACGCGGAGCCCATGGCGCTGCAGTTCGCCCCCGAGGCTCGGAGATGCGAGCTCGAGTCCGGAAGCCCCGAGCTTAGGGGCCAAAAACCGAGGTGTTGTTTCAACGAATGGCCAGGTGGTTTAGCTCCTTTACGTTTTTCAGAAAATGGCAAAATTGGTTTGAACAAGAGGTTGTGTACACCAGGGACTTGCTGGACCAACCCGCAACATCCCGTAGTTGGACTAGGACAGGTGTGCGACCTGCCACCCCCGCTAGCAGAAGTTCATCTTGTCGATGTCAAGAATCCACCAGCATCCTTCTTGGCATTTGTTGTAGATTCGGCCCACGCTAAAAGCGCGGCACCTGCGCAAAGGTCCAGTCTCTGAACCCGACACTCGGAACGACCTTGAGTGCAAGCAGGTCTTAATCCAAGCTTGAAGACGAGAACTAAACACCTTTGGCACTCAACCTCACATCTCGCTCTCAGTGACGTTGAGTCACCGAAGCCCCAAACGCTGTAGGCAGTAGCCGTTTTGCCAAATACCCCACGTTGGAGGATAAACATGATTTGCAGCCTCAGTATCAAAATATTGAACACAATCCTGTTTGAGAATTGCTTGAGCCGACACCAAGATCTCAGTCCGTGTATTGCTTCTGTGAAGTGATCCGAAATTCCTACGGCATATGCATCAAGCCCATTTTCACTCTGGAAAGATCATAAATTCTTTCCCACCTCACTGGGGCGACGGCACGGGCACGGCGGGCACGGCACGGGGCACGGCACGGCTCGAGGCCTTGCGGGACGACGCGGCGCTGCTGCGGCGGCTCGTGGCAAAGAACGGCCGGGCGCTGCGCTTCGCCTCCGCGCGGCTCCGCAACTCCAGGCGCGTGTGACCCGCGAGCGCTCGAGCCGCGGGCGAGAAGTGGCTGTGGTTGTCAAAGCCTTTCTGGGATCCCATTTTGGTGGGTAGGTGCAAGCGCACCCATTCTAGGTTGCCTATTTTAGCCGTTGGATTGAATCGGATGTTCACTGGCATTTGGGTTTTGAAAAGCCCACCAAGTGGCTCGGAATCCACACGACGACACGAAGCGCGATTCGACGCCTTCGGCTCATTCGGCTCGTTCCAGGTGGTTCGAGGCGGTTCGCAAGGGTCGGCTTTTGTCTTTGGACGAGGCATCGTGTTGGGAATATGTGCGTTTGGCTTCCCGGAGCATTTGCTGGACTTTTTATAACGTTTGTATCAAAAGTTCAGCCTGTTGATGCCGTGAGTTTTTCTCAGGCATTCCTTGGTCGCTTGCCAGTTAGGAGCAGCTAGGATCTTGTGGTCAAGCACAGACCGCCGCGGACTTCTGATGATTTGTTCTCTCGAATTGTTTTTCAAGAAGGTCATCAAAGCGACGTTCTGATTTCTCGTTTTTGCCGCCCATATTCGGATTGCCATTTGAGCTACACACACACCGGATGTGTCCCATTGAGTTCCCTCCCCAACAAAAGAGCAGCTGAAAAAGGGAAGGTTCCTCGAACCAAAAGTAAACACATCTGACGCAAGCAGTGGAATTACTTTGCGAGTGGATTTCTCGTTTTTGCAGCTGCCCATATTCGGATTACCCCCTTGTAGGCGTTGCAACTCGCATTGCCCGAGTTGAGAAGACACGGTCGCCAGGGACCTGGTGCTTTTGGCCATCGCCTCGCACCCCGCCGCAGTCTTCTCCGCCAGCGAAGAGCTGCTCACGGACAAGGAGGCCTGGCCGTTTGCGTTGGTTTCGCCTTGTTTGGCGTCGTTCTGTGTACCCCCCAGACTAGCATGGAAGCTTGCAGGACTTTTTTGGAAGACTTGGTTCCATTTTCGGAGGCCTTTCGCATCGGTTTTTTTCACTTCGTTTTGGTCGTCTTCCTAGAGCCCTTAAAGAATGGGTCCATGACCCCTTAATTTTGGGCAATGACCCCATTTTTTAGGGTCGTGGAGACTCCAGGTTCTTCTTTGTTTCTTTCGCGGTTTTTTTGGCTGCTTTCCCTCCCCGCGAAGGCTGGTCTTGCGTTCTTGCCCTCATTGCTTCGGTTCTTCGCGGCGGTTCGATGCTCTCTTTGGGCTACATTTGTTCCTTGTGGTCATATTTGGCAAGTTTGGGCAGCCGCATCCACGCATGAGTTTCAGGAAATGATCTATGTGTGCCTTGATGAGCTGTTGCCACCTGCACCACACACAAATACAAAGAGAGAGACACCAAACACGAGTGGCTGAGAGACATGTCCCAAAACACTCAGCCACTAAAATCGAAGCGGGAAGCGCGTTCGTTGAGGTGCTGCTTGCTGCCATGGAGCGCGACCCAAAGCTGGTCCATCAGTTGGCACACTACGCAAGGAGGCACGCGTTGTCAGGTAGCTCGGCCAACAGTCGTCAGGAGTCTTGATCCATGCCAACAGCTCGTAAGCCCCCAGTCCCCACGAATCTCCATTGGCTGACCAGGACTAATTTCCGTCATCTCGCCTCGCCAGGATCGCCTGAGCCGAGCAAGAAAAAGGAGTGTGGCAAAGAGAGCGCTTGCCACATGCGCACGCGCTGTCATCGGAGTGCATAGATTTGTGACGTGGCAAGTTGCAGAGCAAGCTTTGGCTTCTGTGCAGACTCTGTGGTCTTTGAGTTACTTGTTCTCTTCCTTACCGCATGGGCAGGCGTCCTTCCAGCTGCGGCGACAAAGTTTGGCTCCCAAGGAGCACTCATCGAAGAGTCAGGCAATGCATTTGTTCGACTCATCGAATCCAAAGTTTCATACCATCAAACCCCAAGGGAACCAGCCGGTTGAAAAGAAGGATGGTTGAAAAGAATGGACAAGGAATCAACCCCTAGAATGTCCAGCTGCCAAGGTTTCCTGAAGAAGGCGCTGTGGCAGGCTCTGGAGGATGGAGTTGGGAAGCGAACCGCAAACTTCGTCCATTGGGGGGACTCAGGACACAGGCCTCTACATGGAGCGGCTCTCCCTCACGCCTGGCCCCAGGGAATCCTCATGTTGCGTTGAAAATTGCTCAGCTTGGGCTCGGTGCATTGAACATCTCACTCGCCCAGTTTGGCTCCAAATCTCAAAGAGAGGGCACACGGAACACGCTCAGACACCATGGTTGTTGTTGGGAAACATTTTACATTGTTGCTTACTGTGGTTTGGTGGGAATCCCCACTTAACTGCTAAAGTTTAAGTTGTTGCTCCCCTTCCAACGTTAACCAAGACACAGGCACCTGCAATTCACTGAACTCGACTCACAGTCAACTGGAGCTGAAAGAGAGCCAGTAAAGTCCCCGATGTGGCTCTATGTCTTTGCAGCTGGTCGGCCTACTACACGCGGACTCGGATTCGGAGGAAGAGGAGGATGTGCAACCTTTGCCGTTGCCGAGACAGGCGGAGTTGGGGACTTGGGGACTTGGGTTCTATCCTGAGAAAAGCGGCATCGGATTGGTGACGCAGCAACCTTGGATGAACTTGAAAGTGTTTCGCTTCAACTGCCGAGCTTCAAAGTTGATTGCCAGGGGCTCAAAGGCTAACGAGCAACCAGTCAATTCCTTGAGCACATCTTGCGAACCGGAGGCTCGGCCCTGGCCCTGGGTGCTGGCCGTGACTCTCGCCGTGTGTGTCTGGTGTCTTTGGCCCGGGTGGCCCGTGGAACACCTGGGCCAAGAAACCCTCACGCGAGCCATCCGACTCGGCAGAAGCAAACCTGAGCTCCTCGAGTTGCAGGCGCCTGAGAGAGTTGCGGGGAGTTTTGGGTTCTGGACATGTCAACAGCACGAAAGAAACGCCACTGGTTCTTTGACTCGGGTCCAAGACGGGCTGTGATTCGAAATGTTGGTGTTGCCCCTCGCATGCGAGCGATTGCAGTGGAGGCTGAAGTTTCTCGCACCAGCTGAGAGAGCAATCATGAAGAAACGACCCTAACAAAATCAGCTAGTTGCAGAAGGTCAACAGTCCGTTCGGATGGAAATTGCAGTAGGGCTGCATGAGATCAGCATCGGTTCATGCTAGGAATCTTCAAAGGAAAACCACAACCCCTCCTCCTAACATGACTTCCGTGATGCGCACGCCCCGTTCACCAACGAGTTGCTTGACAAGTGCGCATGTCAGTCATGGTTGGACAACTACTGCAGTTCAACTTTGCATCAGACCTTTCAGCGATGTAGTGCATGTTGGAGACATGGCAAGTGTATTAAGCACACTCGCCGGCTGCAGAGGTGCTGATTGGAAAACGTATGGCACGAAAGCAAGAGTTTGTGTGTGTGTGTGTCAGAGTTGTTTCTTGTTTGCTTGTTTGCTGTTGATTTGGTTGTTGCTGGTACTGCCGCCAGAAACATGGTTGTTTCGTGCATTTCTCATTTTTTGGCATGTGTGGTGCTCGGAGTCTTTTTGCGTGAGGCCAAGCTGCACAAATGATACTGCGCATCCACCACCGCTGCAGGCATTCTGGCACAAATGATACTGCACACCCACGCGCATCCACCACCGCTGCAGTCGTTCTGGCACAAATGATACTGCACACGCCCACGCGCATCCACCACCGCTGCACGCATTCTGGCACAAATGATACTGCACACGCCCACGCGCATCCACCACCGCTGCACGCATTGTGGCACAAATCATACTGCACACGCCCACGCGCATCCGCAACTGCTGCACGCATTCTGGCACAAATGATACTGCACACGCCCACGCGCATCCACAACCGCTGCACGCATGCTGGCACAAATGATACTGCACGCGCCCACGCGCATCCACAACCGCTGCACGCATTCTGGCACAAGTGATACTGCACGCGCCCACGCGCATCCACCACCGCTGCACGCATTCTGGCACAAATGATACTGCACACGCCCACGCGCATCCACCACCGCTGCACACCTTCTGGCACCAGTGATACTGCACACGCCCACGCGCATCCAGCACCGCTGCACGCATTCTGGCACAAATGATACTGCACACGCCCACGCGCAGCCACGACCGCTGCAGGCGTTCTGGCACAAATGATACTGCACACGCCCACGCGCATCCACGACCGCTGCACGCATTCTGGCACAAATGATACTGCACACGCCCACGCGTATCCACCACAGCTGCACGCATTCTGGCACAAATGATACTGCACACGCCCACGCGCATCCACAACCGCTGCACGCATTCTGGCACAAGTGATACTGCACACGCCCACGCGCATCCACCACCGCTGCGCGAATTTTGTCACAGATGATACTGCACACGCCCAAGTTCATTCACGACCGCTGCACGCATGCTGGCACAAATGATACTGCACGCGCCCAAGTCTTTGTTGTCTTTGTCTTTGTTTTCACCGTTGTTGTTGTTGTTGGTGGTGGTTGCTTGTTTATTGTTGCTTGTTGGTTGTTGGCTGTTGGTTGTTAATTGTTGGTTGTTGATTGTTGGTTGTTAATTGTTGGTTGTTAATTGTTGGTTGTTAATTGTTGGTTGTTGCTTGTTGCCTGTTGCTTGTTGCTTGTTGTTTGATGTTTTTTGTTTTCCGTTTGTTGTTTGTTGCTTGTTGCTTGTTGCTTGTTGGTTGCTGGTTGCTGTTTGTTTGTTGATTTTTCGGTTGTCGTTTGTCGTTTGTTGTTTGTTGTGTGTTGTGTGTTGTGTGCTGTTTGTTGTTTGTTGTTTGTTGCTTGCTGTTTGTTGTTTGTTGTTTGTTGTGTGTTGTGTGTTGTGTGTTGTTTTGTTGTGTTGTTGTTGTTGTTGTTGTTGTTGTTGTTGTTGTTGTTGTTGTTGTTGTTGTTGTTGTTGTTGTTGTTGTTGTGGTTGGTGTTGGTTGTTGTTGTTTGTTGTTGTTTGTTGTTGGCTGTTTGCTGTTTGCTGTTTGCTGTTTGCTGTTTGCTGTTTACTGTTTGCTGTTTGCTGTTTGGTGTTTGGTGCTTGGTGTTTGTTGTTTGTTGTTTGTTGTTTGTTGTTTGTTGTTTGTCTGTTTGTTTGTTTGTTTGTTTGTTTGTTTGTTTGTTGTCGTCGTCGTCGTTGTTGTTGTTTTTGTTGTTGTTGTTGTTGTTGTTGTTGTTGTTGTTGTCGTTGTTCTTGTTGTTCTTGTTGTTCTTGTTGTTCGTGTTGTTCTTGTTGTTCTTGTGGTTGTTGTTGTTGTTGCTTGTTGAGTGTTGTTGGTTGAGTGTTGTTTGTTGTTTGTTGTTTTGTTGTTTGTTGTTTGTTGTCTTGTTGTTTGGTGTTTGTTGTTTGGTGTTTGCTGTTTGGTGTTTGTTGTTTGTTGTTTGTTGTTGTGTCTTGTTGTTGTTTGTTGTTGTTGTTTGTGCTGTTGTTTTTGGTTGGTTGTTGGTTGATGGTTGTTGGTTGTTGTTTGTTGTTTGTTGTTTGTTGTTTGTTGTGTGTTGCTTGTTTGTTGTTTGTTGTTTGTTGTTTGTTGTTTGTTGGTTGTTTGTTGTTGGTAGTTGTTGGTTGTTGTTGTTGTTGTTTGTTTGTTGTTGTTATTGTTTGTTGTTGTTTGTTGTTGTTTGTTGTTGTTTGTTGTTGTTTGTTGTTGTTTGTTGTTGTTTGTTGTTGTTTGTTGTTGTTTGTTGTTGTTTGTTGTTGTTTGTTGTTGTTTGTAGTTGTTTGTAGTTGTTCGTTGTTTTGTGTTGTGGTTTGTTGCTGTTTGTTGTCGTTTGTTGTCGTTTGTCGTCGTTTGTTGTCGCGTGTTGTCGTTTGATGTTGTTTGTTGTTGTTTGTTGTTGTTTGTGATTGTTTGTTGTTTGTTATTGTTTGTTGTGCGTGGATGTGTGTTGTTGTGTGTTGTTGTGTGTGTGTGTGTTGTTGTGTGTTGTCGTGTGTTGTCGTGTGTTGTCGTGTGTTGTCGTGTGTTGCCGTGTGTTGCCGTGTGCTATTGTGTGTTGTTGTGTGTTGTTGTGTGTTGTTGTGTGTTGTTGTGTGTGGTTGTGTGTGGTTGTGTGTTGTTGTGTGTTGTTGTGTGTTGTTGTGGGTTGTTGTTTGTTGTTGTTTGTTTGTTGTTGTTTGTTTTTTGTTTGTTGTTGCTTGTTGTTTGTTGTTGTCTGTTGTTGTTTGTTGTTGTTTGTTGTCGTGTGTGTCGTGTGTTGTCGTTTGTTGTCGCGTGTTGTCGTTTGATGTTGTCGTTTGATGTTGTTTGTTGTTGTTTGATGTTTGTTGTTTGTTGTATGTTGTTGTTTGTTATTGCTTGTTGTTGTTTGCTGTTGTGTGTTGTTGTGCGTTGTTGTGTGTTGTTGTTTGTTGTTGTGTGTTGGTGGTGTTGTTGTTTGTTGTTGTTGTTTGTTGTTGTTGGTGTTGTTGTTTGTGCTGTTGTTTGTGCTGCTGTTTGTTGCTGTTTGCTGTGTGCTGTTTGTTGTTTGGTGTTTGGTGTTTGGTGTTTGTTGTTTGTTGTTTGTTGTTTGTTGTGTGTGTTGCTTGTTTGTTGTTTGTTGTTTGTTGCTTGTTGTTTGTTGTTTGTTTGTTGTTGTGTGTTTGTTGTTGTTTGTTTGTTGTTGGTTGTTTGTTGTTGTTTGTTTGTTGTTGTTTGTTTGTTGTTGTTTGCTTGTTGTTGTTTGGTTGTTGTTTTTTTGTTGTTTTTTGTTGTTGTTGTTTCTTGTTTGTTGTTTGTTGTTTGCTGTTTGCTGTTTGTTGTTTGTTGTTGTTTGTTGTTGGTAGTTGTTGGTTGGTGTTGTTTGTTTGTTGTTGTTATTGTTTGTTGTTGTTTGTTGTTGTTTGTTGTTGTTTGTTGTTGTTTGTTGTTGTTTGTTGTTGTTTGTTGTTGTTTGTTGTTTTTTGTTGTTTTTTTTGTTGTTGTTTGTTGTTGTTCGTTGGTTTGTGTTGTGGTTTGTTGCTGTTTGTTGTCGTTTGTTGTCGTTTGTCGTCGTTTGTTGTCGTTTGTTGTCGCGTATTGTCGTTTGATGTTGTTTGTTGTTGTTTGTGATTGTTTGCTGTGTGTTATTGTTTGTTGTTCGTGGATGTGTGTTGTTGTGTGTTGTTGTGTGTTGTCGTGTGTTGTCGTGTGTTGTCGTGTG